GAAAAGTAAACAAAACAAAAAACACCAGCGGCAACAATGTGCGGAATGATGCCAACAAATGTCAACACTGCGAGTGGCAAAATTTTGGGCTGGGGGTGGAAAAATTGGGGAAAAACTGTTGTTGGCAATAACAAAAGAAATTTACAGATATTACACAGCATGGCTCCATAATAATACCAATACACATGAAAGAAAGAAACAACAAAAAACAAAAGGGGCAGTAAAACCATTTGCATACGCATGTGTATGTGTGTGTGTGTGCATTGTGTATTGTGTATGAGGGCGTGAACAGCTCTTTTTTCACTCATATTTCTCGCCGCGATCTGCGTTTGTTTTACTGGTTTATTTTCTTCTTTCTGTCTTTTTTTCCTTAGCTGAAGCGAACCAATTTAAAATTTGTTGCGAGTTTTGCGAAGTTCCATTGCATACTTTTTGGCGCATCGGTTACAGTCGCTCTTAGTTTAGCTTTATCTTACGCCGCTTCTGCTTTCCGCTTCTTATTTTCTATAAACTTGATACGGGCTGCCAGACATGAGACCAAGCAATTGCCACCTGCCTAATATGCCAAAGAGAGAAGTTGCCAAAAAACATTTTCCCCTATACGCTGAGGGCCTTTGTATAGCGCCCTCATAGTTTACCGACTTTTGTCTGGCGCTGCATAATTGAAGTCAACAGTTTTTTTTGTTTTTTCTTTTTTTGGTAGCTGGGGTACATGTGTTTAAACTGTCGAGAAAAAAAATGCCATCAGGCACACGAAGCAGCCAGGATACGGGACAGGGACACGCTCTGACACATATTGTCATAAAATTATTCAATGGTTATTGTCAGCGTCATCACACACACCCACACACAGTCATATTTATATATGTGGAGTTAAAAGTTTTTGGACCCTTATTTCGTAACGTTGCCCTCGTACCCCCGCACAGCCCTTTTGCAATTTTTTTGAATAGCATTTCGTAAGCGTTGCCAAATAAAAAAGGCAAAAACATTAAATGGCAATATGAGAAGGCCCTTTATATATATACACACACACACACAACCACACATATTGGATTAAGGTAGGGAACGTGGCTACCAACATATGCGTTTAGAGCTTGGGCGTTGCCAGCAGAAGAGAAAAAGAAAACAAAACGTAATTACCAAGCCATGTCCAGAAGGTCTTCGAGGGATTTGCGCGCTCGTTTTGTTTAAATAACGTGGCTCATTCATTCGAGCAGAAGATAAAGTGCTACCAATTAACGCAAAATAAATAAAACTCAACTAATTGTTGCCAAAACCGGAGAGATTGCAAGAGAGAGAGAGAGAGAGAGGTAGAGACGGCGAGTAGGGGGAGCTACTGCAGACAAAAGAAATGAACGAGCATCAGTCTGAGCTGAGGTTGGACCTTAGGCAAACTCTTCAAAAAAAAAGAAGAAGAAAAAAATTGACAGACGCGCGGACGTCCGCCCACTCGGCCACATGGCCACAACCGACGACAGTCGACATTTCTGCAACTGCCACAATGTTGTCGTGTCTACGTTTTTCCTGCCAGCTCGACGCTTGGCCCACTTCTATTTTCCTTTCTCCTTTGGCCGCCATTTTCTTTACAATTTTTACTGCTCGAGCATTTTGGCAGAACGTTTTCTTTTACTTTTCTCTTCAAATTTTTTGTTGTTTATTTTCTTCTCCTCTTTTTTTTTTGCTCATTGTGCAAACTTGGCATTATTGTTTCCTAAGGCCAACAACGAAGAAAACACAACGTCAACAGCGCCTAGGCTGGGTCATGCCCAGTCAGGCCATACGACAGCAGAGGACAGTATTGCCTGTCGGGCGGTCTCTGCACTGGGCAATCCTCACCTTGCCTTATCGCTGCTGTTGTTCCCTTTTGTTGACTAGTCGGCGTTGTCTATTGTTTGCGTAGACGCCAAATTAAAATCAGCTGCGACAATCACAGCACACAAATGCTGCGTTCAAAACTACTTTGTATACCCTGTAAATTTCAAATTCATATTTGTGGCTAATACCAAGTTGTGCAAGGCTATGCAACAGGCAGCTGGAAACAAGTCCTTAATTTTTCACTCTTTTGACTTTCTCTCTCTCTCTTCGTCATTTCCTATTTATTTATCGAAGCCTTCGACTTACAGATCAGTCTCTGCCTTTCCTGGTCTATCTTCATCTCTCTCTCTCTCTTCCACTGTGTCTCTCGCTCTCTTCCGCTCTATCTCTATCTCTATCTCTATCTCTCTTCTATTTCTCTCCCTCTCTTTTTATCCCTTCCTCTCTAGTTTTCTCTTTTTTTGTGCTTTCTACTTATCACTCAATTTCGGTTTTTCTTTCTCCCGATCTTTCTGTTTCTCTCTCTCACTATTTATCTTTCCCTCTCTCTTTCTCTCTGCCTCTCCCTCGATCTTTCCCTCTCTCCTGTTCTCTCGCTCTGTGTTCCTTTCTTATCTATTCCTCATATATTTCCATTAGGGCTCTATAAATATTTAACTCCCTCTCCCACTCTTCATCATTCGGTGTCTCTCCCATCTCTGAATGTTAAAAAAAAATTCATCTCTCCACACCTTGTTTGAACATCCAATAAGCGCGTACCCTAACTCTCTTCCCCTCTCTTTTTAGCTAGAATAAATCCCAAACCAGACTAATATTTGCTTAGTAAAAACAGATCAACTCTTCGTCGATCAATTCGCAAACTCATTCTCACTCTAGTTATGTTTACAAATTTTTTGGTTAGGTTTAGAGTGCGTAAATCGCCTTTGTTTACATATTCGCGCATATATATTTAATTAAGCTAATTAGGGAACGTGCTCTGGGCGAGAAAGCGGCTTAAGCCCGGCTTTTGAGGGCGTAATTTATGCGCCGCATGGTTTACTGCATTTCAACAATAATTAGAACTGTCTGCCTGGTCAACACATGACGCGGTCTCAGCATAAGGTGTTGCCAAGGGCGTGGCCAAGTGGAAGGCGCACGGATGAGAGTTGGCAGCGGGGCAAAGAGAGCTCGTGATAAGCATAAGAAATATGAGCACCGGATATAAATTGTGTCAGCGGCAAAATGATAAAAAACCACTTAAAGGCGCAAACAATACTCTGCTGGCTGCCAGGGTGGTTGTCTGGCAGGCGAGCAGGCGGGCAGCCGGCACAATGACAAACCGCTCGACTAACCGCAAGCGCAGCAAAAGCAAGAGGGCAACAATAGCAACAACAGCAACACAAATAGCGACAACAGCGGAAACAACAAAAGGACATACAACTTGTGCTGTCTGTGTGTGTGCCGGGTGCTGTCTTTGCTTTTGCCAAGTCATTTGCGGCACTCGGTGCTGTTGGGGCTGTGTTGCCCAGCCGCTTGGACGGACATTAACAAATACAATAAAAAAAAGTAGAAGAAGCAGAAGAAAGTAAGAAAGCGCCAAAGATAGCACGTCAGGCTTTTTAATGCGCAAAATTGCAAACGTTTGCCTCTAGCTGCGGCGCGAAAATAATGCGAAACGGAAGAAATTAGTTGCGTGCAAATTTATGCTCAAAGGTTTCGGTCAGCCTGACCCCACAGGAAAAGGGTCATTCTGTAGACGCGTGAAATTTCAGACAACACCTCAACGCCCCTAAATGCCGCAGCCGCTTTTAAACATTTTCTAACGATCCCTTTTATTGGCCTAGCACTGCGACAGAGGCAATAAGTGGAGGAAGCTTGATGGCACCCTATCAGCCAGCAAGTGCCGCAGTTACAAAACGTTTAAATTGAAAAATGTGCCAAATTGCGGAGCAGGCTCTATAACGGGCTACAGTAAAGCCCCTTTAGCAGCATCACTTTTATTGATTCAGTTTTTCTATAAATTCATATATTACGTATACGCATATTCAGTTTTTTAACAGCTCGTTTTTTTTTTAATTTTAACGAATCAATAATATGCAAATAAAGAATTTCTTTATCCGTTTGTAAAAGCTTTTATTAACTTGCTGATATTTACCATTCGATCGATTTTTTTTTAATTCTTCATTATAAAGGAAATACATAATTCATATTTGCACAAAGTGTTATGAAAAAACATAGTAAAGCAAGAAAAAATTGCAGCGGAGTCTGAACGACTGCTAAATGCGCTTTTTATTTGGCATTAACAGATACTTTTTACACAACTATCATTTAGTTAAGGTGGCTTTTGGTCTTTGGAATTGGATTATGGAATTTAAAAAAAAAAATAAATAGTGTTGAAAAGCCTTTTTTTCTTTATCAAAAAACGATGGGAATTATTTTCTTTCGTTCCCAACTCTAGCAACTATTTTTTAAGAGTTGCACAGGTATTATAATATTATAAAGAAATATAATTTTAATATGAAGGAAGCTAGTGCATCGAAAATTTGTTGAGTTTAATATTCTTAAATGTGAATTTGTTAAACAAAATGGCTGTAAAGTTAAAAAAAAAAACATTTTTTATGTGTAATTATAAAATAAAAATATCGAACCTGTCCTATATAAAATATGCAGAAATATTTTAGCCAATTTCGCTAGCTTCCATAGAATGAAAGTTGAGTCTTTAGTCTTTAGCCTATAGTCGGTTCTTATTGATCGCTATCCATCGATAGCTTGACTTAAAAGTACGACAACATTAGCTTCGTCTTTAAGTTGCTATAAAACTGGGCCGTTGAGTATAAATGCATAAGTTATATTTCATGACAACATATATATATATATATATATATATATATATATATTTATTTATATATATATTTATATATATATATGTATATATTTATATATATATATATATTTTGATACCTCCCTCCCACACATTCTCTCTCAGAAACCAATTTACAGCTGATAGATACTAGCTGTTAGGATGATATTATGGTAGCAGTAGCTGCAACAGTCTCTCATTCAACTCATATACTAATGCCAAGGCAGATAGTTTTATCATAACACCATAAAAAAATGTATATATATATATGTATATATTTCATACATTTAATTCATAACTAATATATTTACTTTTTGCCTTTTGCCTTTTCTTTCATGTTCTGCAGCTTCGATGTGCGTGGTCGATCTTTCGAGAAGGCACTCTACTGGTCGGATACCAACTCGTTTGGGCCACGTGCTTATTTTGTTACCGGACAGCAGCCAGCGAAATTGTCTGTGGAAAATATACAGCTGGATGATGAGGGTGTAAGTACTATACGTCGCACATAAAGTGAGCTTACTCTGCCCGTTCGCCAAGTAAAGAGAGTATATGGGGTCTTTTGGTTAGCCATTTGTCCTCAACTGTTTGTCTGCTTGTTGAAGATCTGAAATATTTAAGATATATTTAGATTCTGGTCAGTGTAATTTATTTATTTTAAATCTCTTTTTTTTTGTGAACGAGTATGTCGCAGTCGGTTGCACTCGACTTGCTTTTGCCTTGCATTCAGCTCTAATGCAACACTTTATGTTGTTTTTGACTTTCGTCAACAGGTTTATCGCTGCCGCGTGGACTTTCAGAACTCGCCAACGCGCAATCATAGAATTAATTTAACGGTTATTGGTAAGCTAGCAGACTGCAACATAATGCGAAGGTATTAAAGAGCAACCTACGTACATTTTCCCCAGTTCCTCCGCATCAAATACTCGTGTACGATGCCTCGGGCCGAGATGTGGCTGGTGCTGTGGGTCCATTGCTTGAGGGCGATAATATTGTGTTGACATGTGAAGTGCGTGGCGGTAAGTAAATCATGATAAACGACACAGACGCGACACACACACAGACACGCGCGCATACTGTGTGACGCACACATGCACGGGCAGCTACTTAAATGTAGCACTCAGACAAAAGGCTATCAGGCAAGGATGACAAGCAATGCCACACGCAACATTGCCCCATGTTGCCCGGCCGTGAGTCTATTTAAAGAATTAAAGATGTGGCACAGCAGATAGGCGCTCGCACACGCTGGCCCTGAGCCCAGAGCCGGGTCTGAGACCCAGTCGAAGCATTGCCTAAGTCATCGTAAATAATAAAAATAAATGTATATCAGTGTCTGCGGTGACAGTGTCGACGAGGCCGAACCAACCAACTAGACAGCCGGCTGTCCGACTGGCCAGAACCTTAACGTCTGCTACGGCAGCAAATGCGGCGGCGGCTTCGGCTGCGGCTGATGTTGCGGCTGATGCTGTGGTGTCTGCTGCTACTGCTGCTGCTGCTGCGGCTGTCATTGCCACTTTTCTTTGAAAAATGCAACAATTTTCAGCGTCTGGCTTTTGTCGCAGCGTATGACCTGTAGGCATATGCGGCATCGTAAATCTTTAAAAAGGTCCCCAAGGTGAAGCAACTGTGCGTCCAACTTTTCACTTTTTTTACGTACTCTGTTTGAGAGCAAGTGTGAAAAATTTGTACAAGTTGCACGCTTCGCTAAAGCTGCTCCACTCGGGCTCCAGTTGAACGTTTGCCGCTTGGCTGGCTGCCCCTGACACGACCATTATAAATCATTAACTTTGTGACAACAATATTTTCGGGGCGAGCAGACGAAATGCAGACTGAAATTTTACAGTTGCCCGGGGGGATATTTGCTTAAAGGGCGCATAGTCCCATTTGGACTTGATTTCAAGCAAAGCTAATGAAGATGCTGGTTCGGAGCACTGCAATTTAATCAATTTGCCAATTTAATCAACTGGCATTGCGCATACGCCCCATACGGCAGCTGAGACCTAACGATTGGTTTTGCTTTAATGATTTTCGTTAGCTGCATTTACAACCTACACAAAGCGAAAATATGTTGATTGTTATAATGTATATAATTAAATCGAATATCGAACTATATAATGCATATATCGTCTAAAATATGGGAGTTCAATATGAACATTTGACAATTGAGGCACGAGCTTAGCTATGTCAAGCTATTTGCTAGATTTTGGCACAGTTTCCGTGTTTGATTGGAGTGCCAAAAGCTGTGTGGTTTTGCTGTCAGTGTAGCCACAGCAGCAGTGCCTTTCCAATTCTTGCTTTGAACTACTCAAATAGTTGGCTACGGCTTTGTGCAACTGAATGTAACACGCAGCGAGCTCCATCAACAGTTTCTGCTCCTGCTGCAGTTTACGTGCGGCACTCTGCATGCAAAGGATTTTGCTTCAGCTTTGGCATTTGCTACCATGCGGTTTGTTTTGGTTTTGGCAATGCGTCACGTACTCAAACGCGCCAGCTGCTTTGATTAGCCGCAGCGCAGACGGGTGGAGCAGAGGTACGTAGGGCAGGGCAAGCTAAGTAGCTGGCAAGGACTCGCCGACAACTCCGACGACATTTACTATTTTGACACCTGCTGGGCTGGGCTGGGCTGGGCTGTGCGACTCGTCGCCTTGACGCTAGCTGACTGCGGCAATACGACTGTGATTTGTATGCAACATTTTGTTGCCAGCCAGGCGCAGCTGGCAGCCAGCAAATGCATATTTCATTCTGCACCTGCCACCGCTGAGCGCTTACCCAAATTAACTAATATTTGCTGGCAGGCGCCACATGCTGGCTGAGCATAGGGAGCTGTGGAGAGTCGAGCTTAAGCGCATGCAAATCTTGATGCGGTTTTTATGGCTGGCGCACACTAATCATAGCCCCGCTGGGCGCACCATAAACGCCAAATGCCAAATTGCTTTATCAACTTTATTAACTTCGACTAATAGCAATTAATACCAGCAATAAAAAGCTAATCTAAGCGCACGCATAAAAACCCGATCTCCACACAGTGGAGCCCAACAAATTTTATGACCGGGCGGCTATGCATAATTTTTGGTGGTGCGTCCAGCTGAACCACCATGCAGAGCCACCATACAGCAGCCAACCAATTGTCGACAACCTTAAGTATGGCTTAGCAACGCGCTGTCTTCATTACTGACAGGATTACCGGGTGACGGGGCGGGGAGGTACTGAATGTGGTGAGGCATGGGAGATTGGTCACATGTATGCATGAAAGAGAAAGAGAGAGGAAGAGGGAGTATAATGCGAGCAGCTAAATGCCACAAGGCAACTGTTATTTGTCTATTATCCCTGCATACTTTTCGTGCCACATTCATGGCCATTGTATGTGTGTCCTGTCTTGACTTGGCTTATTGTCGCCAATGTCCTCGCTGCGTATCCTTTGCAATCAGCAAACATTTGGGCACCAAATTCCCCACACACACACGCACACATACACACACTCACTCAACTATCAGCTACTTGCTGCTTGCCACTTGCCTCCGCTTGCCACTCGAATCTCGCTCGTCTGCTTGTTGCTATTGTTGCTCATTTCCGCCACATTCACTTGGCTGACTTAATGGCCAAGCTGCAGTCAGTGGCAGCCCCTACACCCAGTCCCCTTTCTCAAGCAAACGTTTCGAGGCACTTAAACGGATTAAAAATATTTTGTGCATTTGATATGTGAGCCAACGGATGAAATGCTTTTACCGAACGTCTACAGACCCAGAGAGAAGCGCAGGGGGGAAAGGTTGAAGAATTTCGATTACTTTCGCCAATGAAAGAGAGAGTGAAATTAAAGGAAACAGATATTTTGCTAGATAATATAAAAGCTTACTGCAAACATATCCGCTGCGTCTACACTAATTATATCCATAAAATTATATTTAATACTATCTGACTTGTTCAATGTCAATCAGGAATTAATGGAATTAATGAAGATTAGAAAATACTTATATCAACTAACTATGATAGAAATCATTTTAGTTATGGCATTCTCATAATTCATATACATAGATATCTATATAATTGACAGGTAGCCAAGTGGTTATGGGCGTGTTTATTTGTGTGACTAACAAACTTTTCTAGATTTTCAACCAGGCAGTTTGGTATTTTATCGTACTCTGAATAGACTTATCTAGTACTAGAGTTGATGCATAGCACTCATTAAATTAAATTAAATGATCTACAATAGTGAAGTCTTCATCTACCAGTGACAGTGACTACGACAGAGCATTGGGAAACTTTTGATCATCCTTAACTATCATTCTTATCATATACTTGTCCCTTTGAACCTTTCTCAAAGGCAAAAACGTTTTAAAGTCCACAAGTATAATGCATTGATAACACAGACTAACAGGCATAAGACTACACCTCTTTAAATATTCTTAAAGTCTGAATCTGAATCAGAATCAAATAAGTGTTATCATTCTTTCGAGACGTACTATAACAGCCAGACTATTTTTATCTTCAACTAAAAGCATTTCAGTATCTAAATAAGCTTTTCCCATCACTAAAACATTTTTTTATTTTATAAAAAAATTTCATCTCACTGAGCTATAGCCGAAGGTATGCCCGAAAATGCTATTTATTAATACTATCTTCTATTTAATTTTCTATTCAACACTTCAAGTATAATTTTCAAATTCTCCTAGGGCATTTAAGCATCATCAACTCAATTAGATGACATTCTTATCTTCGCCTTCCTTTGCTTAAATATATTTTGTAATTAGAGAAAGTTAAAAATAAAATAATAGCACAAAGCATATGGACGCAGCAGAATATATTAATTAAAAATCTATTTACGGATATCTAATAATAATTATCGATTAGCAATGATAATAATGTATTTTTAATTAATTTAAAAGCTTATGGAGAAATGGGGGAACAAAAGAATTTTCTAAATAAATAAATATAGAAAAACGAAATACTTATTATATGCAGTGTGAGAGATACAAAATAAATAAGCTTCAACTATATACAAATTTTTCATGTAAATTGCTAATGATAAGGTTTTTTTAATGTATGCATCGAGTGTTTTTTTGGTGCTGCCAATTTCGAATGGCAATTCGCCCAGTTTTTTTCTTTTGCTTATTTAACATTCAGGCTTTGGCGTTTGTCTATCCAAAGTTCGGGGTCAGCGCTCGTATAGCTGGCTGGGAGCGGCGCCACAACTTTGCTAGTTAAGCTGGCTAAGCCTTTTTTAAAAGCCTTGGGTACACACTGCTAAATGGGCATTATCATTAAAATGTGGAAAGTTCTTTTCGGTCATAAATTTTCCAAATGCAGCTCCGAGTCCTGCCTAATAAGTTAGTTGTGAGTTAATAATGCATGAGGCCAAAGTTTGTGTGCAGCAAACAAATCAAAAATAAAAAAAATAGATATTTGCATTAAATATTCGTTTCGTTCCGTATGACAAATGTGTGCGCGTTTGTGTCTAGTCTCTAGATTTGACCGTCTGCATAATTTGCATAATTTTGTATTCGATTCGTATCCATAGGACGGCCTGAGCCTACTGTCACATGGCTGAACGGTTCGAGAACGCTGGAGGCTGGCAGCGGCATATCGATGGGCCGTCATGTAACTGTTAATCGACTCGAGGTGCCGCAAATAACGCGTGCAGCACTCAACAACACCTATCGCTGTCAGGCGTCCAACACGAAGCTGGTGGCACCTGTGGAGCGTAGCATACGCATCGAGATGTTATGTAAGTGCCAAAGCCGAAATGTAATTTGATAACTATCATTTATAAATATATATATACTTACAGTGAAGCCCACATCGGTCAATTTGACGAACAAGTTGAAGGTGTTCTCATCGAGCACACAATATAATCTGACATGTATTGTGGCCGGCTCGGTGCCAGATACTGAAATCAGATGGACACAAAATAATCGACCCTTCAAGCGTGGCACGGTAAGCCGATTGCAGCTTGATCCAACAAAAATCCAACTGTCATATATGTGACTTGCCATTGACATTTTGATATCTTGCACTTGTGGCTGTGACCATTTTTCTAATCGATTTCATTTCACACTCTCTCGCTCTCTTTTATATAGCTGTCGACGAGCCAGGGCAATGGACGCGTCCTATCCACTTTGTCATTTTATCCACAACCTGAAGACGATGGCACTATGCTCAAATGTGAGGGCTCAAATCCTCGACTACAAAATTCAGCCATCGAGGACTCGCTCATGCTGAATGTCATGTGTAAGTGGAATATATACATATATATATATGCATCGCATATTGGCCTGGGGGAAACCCCATTTTAATTTCCATAAATATAGCTGACGCCACACAAATCAAAGCTGCCTTCGCAAATAAGTCTAAATTATGTAGCATTATTTGCCCAGTTGCTGCTCGTATGTCAATATTTGCATTCTCGACTCTTAGCGAGGCCATAAAATGTCAGACAGACACTTCGCCGCCCCCTCCCAACGGAATGCCATAAATTTTACTTTATATGATTATCAATTTCTACAATTCAAAGAAATAAAACAACAACACCCTATTCCAGCCGCCTAAAAGTTTCACCAAAAGGTCAGATTGGTTTTTTCTCTGTTTGTTTTTTTTCCTCTTTTTTTGCAGTTTGTGTAGCCATAAAAATGAAATGAAAGAAAATTTGTCCCGCACCAAAGTTTGGCAGATTCAGCCTCTAGTTTGCCGGCATTCGCCATTTGTTGTCACTTAGATTCGCTTTTCTCGTTATTTGCGAGCGGGGCGAAGATAATCATAAATTTATTGAATTTTAAAGTCGACCACACGGAGCACATATATGCAAAGCCAACTTATAAATAATAAAAGGAAACAGTGAACGCTGGCTTTAAGCAACAGCATACTGAGACACAGCAAAGGATTGAAAAGCTATTTCAGCCAAGCTCTTTCCTCCGTTGGAGTAGCTCGTATAAACATAATATAGTTTAGCTGTGCCTTAATATTCCATTTCAATTATTTACAGAGAGGGTGACTACATAAAAAGAATAGCTAAAGCAATTGCAATCAAACAAAAGCGAAGTGCAATGTTGTTTTAAGATTTTCTTGGCCAAAACCATTTGTCATAAAATTTTCAATGCAGTAAAAAGGCGTTTTAATGTGATTAGAAATATATATTTTTGTTTTATTATGATTAAAACTTGTGTAACTCTAAAAAAGTCATAATAACTTCGGGTTTGCTGGAGGTCCTCCAATCTCGAATGACCTCACTTATGACTTGTCCCCTTTTGTGCTCCGATTCGTCTTTTCTCCGTGTGTTTTTATACTGCTTACTAAAGCAACTTCGTATCAATCTCTATCTGAATGATGGTGTAGCATCCAAAAAGGGTTATAATGCTCATATTTTTCAACTACGAATTGCACTGAAGACCTAATGACGACCAACTTCAACACGTAATTCACGAGTCGGAATTTCGTTAAATTTTTAAAAAATATTTCCACATGTTTTATCATTTATCATTTATAATTAAATGGCAAACGTTATTTAAAACTTTAACAGCTTTATGTTATTGACATGTCAAACAGCTGTTGAAAAATAGCTATCTGAAATAGTATCACTCTTGTTTGGTCAGTCTTCAAAAAAAAACTTTGTCATAGAAGTGGGAACCAACGAAATAGAACACAGTTTCGTTGCAGATAGAAACATACTAGCAAATGATTAATAATATTATATTCTGACTCTTAAATCTACTTAAAATAATCTTCAGTTTAACTACCTCTCTCAGCATAATCCTATGCTTGATCTAACAAGAAGAATAAACAGATTTTAGCACTCGATCACAATTATTGGTGTTGTGAAATCGTCTTCCATATTTTACCATATTTTACATACAAATAAATATGAAAACGCGCAGTGCTTTGCACACACACACACACATACACACTCATACACACTATAGCCAAATAGCCTTACCATGAATTCCACCTTCGATAAATAATCATTATGTTATAAAAATAAAAGTGCACTAAATTTTTTTATGTAATCCATCATCGGTATTTGGACTGCCAGCACCCACGCACACACCTACACATAAGCTCACAACATAGCAATGCGTAACGGCAACAATTTTAATTTAAAAATTTTGGCATACCCATTGGTCGGCGAGGCCGAGGTTCAGGGTTAACCCGGCTTATAAAGCGGTTCAACAGACGCGCTGTTAACTTTTATGGTCGTTCCTTGGCGCATCGCGGCTCATGCAATTCCCCATTTTATTATGCCATAATATTTTTCGATTTTATATTTTATATCACGCCAGCCTCTGCTATAAAAATCCAACGCACGCCCGCGCCAAACACATTTTAATTTGTTGCCTGTGACAATGAACGAAAAAGAAAAACAGGAAAAGCAAAAAAGACAACAAAAAATTTGTTTATTAAAAATTGCAATTAAAATTTTGCGTTAATTGTGAAATTTATACAAATTGGTTTTATTCATCAATTCACAGATCCGCCACAGGTCACCCTGTCGCTGGGCTCGACGCTGCGGCCAGACGACATTAAGGAGGGCGACGACGTCTACTTTGAGTGTCACATCAAGGCGAATCCCAAGGAGCATCGCATCACCTGGTCGCACGATGTAAGTCTGCCCATAAATATTATCCCAGGTAAATTTGCTAAGTGCATTCCGTTGCAGGGTCTGCCCGTGACACAGAATGTATCCTGGGGCATCATCATCTCCACACGCAGCCTGGTACTGCAGCGCGTGGGACGCGTTCACTCCGGCTACTACGCCTGCTCGGCGGCCAATGATCGCGGCGAGACGCAGAGCGCGCTGGTCAACCTACGAATACGCTGTGAGTATATATGGATAAGAACCACTTAAAATATATAAAGTAAATATATTACAAATCCCATATAAAGTAATCTATTTAACAAAAGCTTTATTAAATTGCCAAAAAGAAAAGAAACTGTTTAAAACACGCAATTTTTAAAGCGTACGAAAATAATGGCGAAAATTCACACAGAAAATAATGCTGACAGTCGATGTCAGTCGAGCGGAGCATTAAAAATACATATGCGTAAATTTATGCACAAATAGACAACAAATAGACATAACCACTGCACAACCACTCACTGTCCGGTGTGGTGTGGTGTGGTGTGGTGTGGTGCACTGCTGGCACCACCCACTTGATAAGCTCCATGAAGCAGTCCCGGTGTGCGGCAGTTCACATCACAAAATCACAAAAACCCTCCGACCGTTGACAACTAGAACAACAAATCCTGCAGCACGGCAGCAGCAACAACAATAAATGTTACAATATATTTTGTGCAGAAAGCCGTAATATGAACAATATATATGCACACACGCACACACACACATATATATATATATATATATATGTATATGTATATATATTGTGTTTTTGATATACGTGTCTAACGGCTTTTCACTTTTAGCTCTTTGCAAATGGCAAAAATTTGACAATTACTGACTTTTCAAAAAACAACAAGAAAAACAACAAATAATAATAATGTGGCAAAAAATATGGGAAATTTCATTTAAGCAAACAATGCGATTGCAGTAAAGTCTTTTCGTAATGGAATTTCAAAACTAAAACTATATTTGAAAAACTTGTGTTCCAAGCTAACAACAATATTTCATTCTATTGCCAAAAGTGAGCCAACAAATATTTGCACTAAAGTTGCAGCTTGTTCAAGAGTCGAAATATAATTGAATTGTCGAAGCTTTGTAAGTTTTACAGTTACTATATTCATTAGCATTACTATTATCATTATCATTTTCATTATCATTAACATTATAGTTACAGCTAGCAATTCGATTTCTCTTACAACAAGCAAGCAGCAAAATGAGCTCACTTAATACAATTATGATAACTGATTAGAAAAGGCCTCCATAAGTTGGCATTTATGAATAATTAATGCATTTAGCTATTATATTCGTAGGAATATGTGAAGTGTGAATTGTTTCAGCCATTCCAGCTGCTGCCATAGCAATTTATTGACTTTAAGGCCGCACAGCTACAGCAACATATCATAATTAACTGTTTTAAATTTGCTGTTGACACTCGTTAGCAAATACACATGTAGACATGTAATTACACACAGACACACGCGCACACTCAGTCACACACACACAATATATCAGAGTGAGAACATATTACAAAGCGCAATATAAATTCATGGCCTGACAATGGGCGCATAAAATGATTTCGAGCCTTTTGTGCACGCACACATATTGAAAATGTCTCAATTACCGTTATAGAGCATTTACTTCCGACTGTTTTTCTAAATAATTAATGATGCTTAAATACAAAATGTATATATATGTGTATAGAGAGCGCACGTTAGCGTTGCCTCACTGTGTGTGTGCGTGGGCATAAATAAGTATGCATATTCATATGGCTGGACAGGCGCTGGTGAAAGTGGCCGCCAGGATAATAAAAATGAATGATATGCTTTTATTATTGAAACACATAGTCATTGTAAAAACATTTATAATTATGGAACGGAGCGAGCCGGACAGCAGGTCAGGTCAGCACATCACATCGATCTATATGCTACGTATAAATATATATATATATAGGATATTACCACACACACACACACGCACATAGACACAGTGTAAGTGTGTGAGAATGTGTACTGTTGTGGAAAATTCAATTTTTATTGTGCATATTTAATGGAGTTGCAAAAAAAATGCATTTTATATGCAAATAAGTTTTTGCCAGCGCTGCCAACGGTCCAAGTAAAAGCAGATTATTTAATTAATTGCAATTTTAGCTGCAGCATTTATGCATATTATTTAGTTTATTTAACTAAAAATTTAATTATGCTTGATTTTTGTGGTTGACTGATTTCAATTCAATTGCATTTAATTCAATTGAAATGCGAACGTAAAAAACTCCAATACTAAAAGATATATAAATATATATAAATACAAATAATATTAACGCAAATTAGCAATTGAACGCAAATAAAAGCCCATAGTGAAAAACGGAAACGTAAACGTAAATGAAAATGAAAATGTATACAGAATAATGTGCTGCATCAGCTTGTTGTGAAAAGTGAAATGGAATAAAATCGAAGACATCAGCAAATGGATCCGTGTTCCCTGTTTGCTTTGCATTGAGTTACCCTTTTGCGATAATTGCGATAATTAAAAGCAAATACAATCGCAAGGGATATATACACACATATATATATAATATATACGTATATCAGTACACATGCCCTGCTATCAAAATTGAAGAGCTATCCGAGTGCTGCAGAGCGTAAGCGCATCCAAAGCTATTTGCACGGGCATAACGTATACGCCACGTTAACATTTGCATAACGCACACAGCCCAAATGTGGGCTGGGCACACTGGTAGGGATTGTTGGGTTAATGTATGTGAATGGGTAGCAATATTGTGTGGCATGACTATGATTGAGATAAATGGATTTATGGCAGTTGCGCTCGTATCTTGGCTGGAAATTAATCAGAATATGTTCGAAGTGACATACTACGATTGTGAAATTGACGCAGCCATATAAAATTTATGACTATTTTTTATGGTAACAGCAAACAGACAGACAAACAGATAGATAAACGCACACACAGAGAGAGAGAGAGAAACAGAGTGTGTGAAAGAGAGAGAAAGAGGCGCAAAACTGTTGTCTGATAAGTTGGTCAAGCTGCTCTGGCTAATAGCTCAAAAAGCAGCTTGTAAACCACAACCACATGCTATTGGGTATGCCACACACACACACACATATATATATATATATATATATATATATATATATTTAAATACATATAGCTCAAGCAAATGCATTTTATCAGCTTTTACATGCTGCAAATACCTGAATACTTTATGGCATTTGTATTGCTTTCATTCAGCCAAAAACTTTTCAAATAATTCTCTTTCTTTTCTTCATCTTGAAGAGAGAGAAATATCAACCACATGCAGTAAAAAACTTGTGCTAAGAAGTCTTATGCTTTAGCTTGAGTTGTCTCTGCTTGTTTATGACGCGACGGCAGCAGCTGTTTTTAACTTGAAGTCAAACTTTTCGGCTTGCCTTAGTGTGTGTGGGCGTAGGTGCGAGTGTGAGTTGTGCCATGGGCGACAATACTTTGAATAAATCATAAGCCAAGTGTTAAAGCCAAAATCGGCTACTGATGTGTTGAAGTCAACTGCAAACAGTTGAAATTTATAAAACGATATGTCACATTTTGGCAAAGTTCAATTTAAATAAAATGCATCAAATGTTACCTGCCCGCTGTCCAAAACGCCTCACACCTGTCGGCCACACCAGCTGCTGCAGTTAAATTGAAAATCAAAGCTGTCAATTTGCTCTGCTGCTGTCCATTGCTCAGCTGTCAGGCTCAAGCCATGCAATATAAATACAATATAAAAATATATATATATATATATAATATATATATATTTTGTTGAAAGTTACTTTATAGACACTGCAGCTGCTCATTATTTTGTATTTTGCTGGCCTGCTGCTCATATATATACATATTGTTGTCTCGCACAGATGCGCCCGTTTGCAGCAGCAGTACGATTGGCGTTGTTGGCGCCTCCTTGGAGGAGGCGGTGCCCATACCCTGCCGCGTCAACTCCGATCCGCCAGAAATCGATTTCGAGTGGACCTTCTCAAGCAGCGGCGAGCACTTTGAGGTGCCATCGGGCCACTATGCAACCATACAGGATCCGACCATGACCACCAGCAGCGATGTGCGACACACCGTTGTTGAGTCCAATGAAACTCACTTTGAGAGCTATGGTAAGTAACTAACTGCCATTTTTTGGCTAACTCCTCATTGAGCCTGTCCCTGCATATGCAATGGATAAAATTTGCATTGTGCTTGCGCTTGAGCAGGCTGCACAAAATGAACAGCTGGAGCCTATAGTTGTTTATACCCTGTATTTATGAGGAGTTGATAAGTGGGGCATATTGTTGTTTAAGTAATTAATGCAACAGTGGGTAATATATCATTGATTAAATGGTGTATAGATATAATCGAGAAGCGTAACTAAAGAGGAATTTTGAATCATTCAGCTACTTTTTTGTTTATAGGAATCGATTTTAGATATACTAGATATATATCTAAAAACTAAAATCAACTCAAAAATATTTATTTTATAGCGTAAATTTCTGACTAATTGAACAACTTTCCTATACTCGTAAAATCTTAAATTTGATGATTAAAAATTTATATGGAAGCATCGCATTCATTTGAAATTGATGGGTGTAAGGCGTAATTTATTTTTTATTTATTTATTTTTTTATTTATTTATTTATTTGTTTATTTATTTATTTATTTATTTATTTATTTATTTATTTATTTATTTATTTATTTATTTATTTATTTATTTATATATTTATTTATTTATTTATTTATTGATTTATTTATTATTTATTTATTTATTTATTTATTTATTTATTTATTTATTTATTTACTTATTTATTTATTTGTTTATTTATTAATATATATTTAATTTATTTGTTTATTTATTTATTTAGAGCACATTAATACAAAGTGCATTCAGTTAGTACTTAAAGCTCCAATAATTGTTCCACCTACAGGATATCCAGTTGCTGTGCTCTTAGCTTGCAGCCTCCTTACTTGTTATCAATATTATGCACATAAATTGAATTACCTGTGCGTCCCAGTTGCCCTGACTGACCAAGCAGAATTTATTTCATTTAACTTGGCCCAAAACCTAATGCAAATACAATGCTCCATGTCCAGCCGCACAATGAAATCCATTTAAGGCACAATTGACTCTCTTCATTCTTTCTATAGAAATACATACACATACACACAAACATACACACACATATATATATATATGAATACACAGAGTTTTTTGTTGTGGTTGCAGTGGAAACAGTTAGTGAGCTGATCTATACGCCCAAGGGCGAGCGAGACTACGGCACGCTGGCTTGCTGGGGCCGCAATGCGATTGGCAAACAGTCGGAGCCCTGTCTGTTTCAGGTTGTGCCGGCGGGTGAGTGTGTTTTGTAATTAATTTGATAGAATTTAAATTAAATTCCATTGGTTTATTATTTGGGTTGATTTTCGTTTTCGGTTGCTTTTTATTGTACGTACACAGCCAAGCCGGGCGCACTGCGCAATTGTACGCTGCGTCCGTATGTGGTGACCTCTGCGTCTCTCAATTCATCGAATCAAACGACAATGCACGGCAATCAAATGCTGCAAACACAATACGGCAGACACGATGCGAATTATCCGCACATGGAATACGTACGTGAGCGCAATGGCAACAGCAATAATGGGCGGAACAATGCGGCTGCATCAGCTGCCAATAATAAAAATATGAAAGCCAGAAGCAAAATAAATGCTGGCCATGTTAAATCTAATAATAAGCAACAACAGCAGCAGCAGCAGCAGCAGCAAAGATACAGCCTGAGTCCGCAACAATTGCAGCGTCTAAGAAAGCGCACATCATTTACACCGTCGCAGACATTGGCAGCCATTGAGCGTGGCAAGCAGCAACAACAGTTGCTGCTGGCCAAGGCAGCAGCCACGCCCTCGGTCGCCCACATCAATAACAAAACTGATGGATTACTGGCCAAGAAGCAGCAACAGCAGCAGCAGCAGCCAAAGCAGTCAAAGTTGCCACAGGACACAAAGCGGCGTGTGCGGCGCGCTGCAAAGCTGCTTAAGACAGCAGCAGCAGCAGCAGCAACAACAACAAAAGCAAAGAAAAAGCTGCAACGTGCAACAAAATCAAATTTATCATTGTCACATATAAAACAGGCTGAAATAGTTGCTGGCTCGAATGTCAAAAACAACAACGGGGAACTGCCAGCAAAGTATTTTAATAAGCGACAGAAAAACATGCACAAACAGCAACAACGACAGCAGCGGCAGCAACAAGGACTAAGCAGCGAGGTAAACGAGCACAACATAATCCATCATTTTGCAGCAGCCAGGCGAAGCAAACGTCAAGCAGCAAATGACATTACAGCAGCAGCAGCAGTCGCAGCGGCAGCAGCACAAGCAGCGGCAACAGCAGCAGGCACAACAACAACCAGCAAGAATGAGAATGATGCCAGCAGCAGCAGCAGCAGCAGCAGCAGCGGCAGCAGCAGCGACATTGACGCAATGCTAGCAACAATGCGAGCACGCAAATCTTTGGAGGCGATTGGCAATGAGAAAGTCAAGAGCAGATTGCTGCCACCAAATGCGCCACAAATTAGCAACAAGCCGGCGGCAGCCGCGCAACAAATGGCAGCAGCAATTAGTAGCAACAATAAGCAAGCAACAGCAGCAGCGGCAGCCGCAGCAACAGCAACAGTTGCAGTTGCTACAGCTGGGAAAGATGTAGTCAAGACGAAAGTAGACAAAGATAATGTGCCTTTGTCCACAGATCAGGCAAGAGTCGAGCTGGCGGATAACAACGACAACGTCGACAATGATGAGAACAATGACGAAGGCGAGGGCGATGGCGATGACGATGACGGTGACATTGCGGTTGCTGAAGAAGATGTTGGCGAGCTGCAGACAGAAGTCGACGAGGATGACGACGACGATGACGGCGATGGCGATGGCGATGGCAACGACGACGGCGACGACGACTACATTGCAGATGAGCCCAGTGACTTGGTGGACTATGAAGCAGGCGCAGCAGCACAACAAAAGCAACAGCAGCAGCAACCGCAACGACAGAGACAGAGACAGAGACAGCGACAGCGACAGCATGTTGATATTTCAAGCCTGGAGCATCAACTGGACTTGGAATCATTAGAGGATGATGTTGCGGATGCGGATGCGGATGCTGATGTCGATGTCGATGATGATATCTACAATGTTAGCGATGATGATTTTGTGGCCAGCATAGCGCTGTCTACAGCAGAAGCAACAACAACAGCAGCAACAACAACAACAACAACAACAACACGACCACAGCAACCAATGCAGCAACAAGAGCAACCAGCTGAATGGCAGCAACCTCATTTCGATTACTCACGCATGGAATATAGTTTCAGCAACGGCGTTGTCACACAGAGCCTGATTGGAGGCGGCGCCAATGGCTACGATGGCAATTCGGCTGCTGCCACTAGTGGCGCTGCTGGTGGTGGCGCCACCATCAATTTTGACAACTATGACAACATAATATACTCGACCATGGAGCTGGAGTGTATGCCTGGCTACGACGGCGGACTGCAGCAGCAGTTCTACCTGGAGGCCTACGACTCAAAGACCAAAAAGCTAAGATTGAACATGAGCAGCACCTATGTGGATGTGCCAGTGTTTCGCATCGATCTCTCTGGTGAGTAGCTAACTTCCTTATAGAAGTACTTGATATATAGATAATTTCATATATATAAGAGTATCTTGCCATCAAAACTCTCAGCAATCTATGTGCCATACTGAATAGGAAGTAATATTTATTATAAAGCTTAGTTAGAAAAAGTTTTTCAAATTGTCAACAGTAAAAGTAACTCAGATACTGCCTCGCTATGTGTACATAGCTCTATTCAATTGCTTCAAAACAATATCTAAGAAGCTTAAAATGATGGCCAATACCTGCAATAAAGGCAAGATTTTAAGTCCCTAGAACTTAAGTTGAGCACTTCGGCAACTTTGCTTAACACATTAAGCTTAATCATTATTATATTTAAATATGGTTGGATTTACAGATTGCTGTGCTAAGGCTGACTGGCTTAGCCAAGAAAGCGTTTTGCAGCACTGTGCAAAAAGCCGCAAACTAAAGACTCGACTTTTATGCGGCCAACACAGCAACAGCAGAAACAGCAACAGCAACAAAAACAAATCAAAGTAACAAACTGTGCAAAAAGTTAAGCAAGCCAAATTGCGCGGCGTGTTTGGCATGGAGAGGGCATGGCCAAATGAAAGCAAAGCTATCCAAAACAACAACAACAACTGTGCAGTGGCACGCAGATTAATTAGTTGAGGCTGCCAGGGCCACATGCCACCCCCATTCCACCCCCCCCCCCCCCCCCGCACTCCACACTCAACTCTGCCCCGCCAAACACTACAACCAGCTGCCACATGCGGCTGCCTCTATTTGTTGTAATGAATTTTAGCTAGTCAGCAAAACTTTTATGCCAATGGCACCGGAGCCCAGGGATGAGTCGAGATGCTGAATGCCTGAGGAGGTGGGGGAGACTGGGGCATAGGCTGTGGCAGTGGCAGTGGCAGTTGCCAGCGCCAGTGGCAATGGCAAGTGGCAAAAATTTTTGAATTAAGTTGTTGAAAAACAAGATTTATTTGCACGCCCAGCGGCTAAAAATGAACCGTAATATTATCATATAACATTTTTGATTTTAGACATGTCAAAAGGGCGAGGGGAGCACGCTAAGCCTGAGCCAAGTTAATGAGCCACATTTGGTTATCATTTAGGTTGCAACTTGGCAACAACTTCCAGCAACCAGGCAGCTTTTTATACAACGTCTATCGATGACTTGGTTAGAGAGCAATGGGTACAAGGGGAGGTAAGCTTTGCGGCTTTTGCATTCTGCGATATTTGCAAAGTCAAACGAAGCGTAAAGTCACGATTAGTTAGACAGGCGTGTTAACGACTCTGGCTTTACAGATGAGCTTGGCTCTTCCAGCGACTGCGAACAGAGATGGTGGAGCTGCGACTGCTGCTGCGAGTTAGTTGCTGCGTATTGGCGCTGGCCTTTAACAAGTAGTTGCGATTTTAATGAGCTCCTATGGCTGCAAAACAAAAAACTTTTAATGTGAGCATAAAATAGAAATACGAGTGGACTTGATTGGATTAGCGGGTGCCAAGATGGATGACTGGCGAATACTCCTTATTAAATATGTTTTGCTTGACCGAATTTCTTGAAGTATATTATCATTAGAATGATAACAAATGCAAAGAGTAATAGCAAGGAATAGTAGTAGAGGATGTATAAAGAGTAGATTATAAGGAGTATATAGTGAAGAGTAGATATGAAAGAGTTGATAGATATAGTAGACAGGTGAATCAGGAGCTTTGTGGACGCCTCAACTACTTCTTAAAGACCTAGCTTATATGCTCAAGCTTAGTCTATAGAACCAGCTTGGATTCTCAAGTGGCTATACAGCTAGATAAGTATCTCAAATTTAGACAAAAGTTTAGATTAATATCATATTATATCATATAATATATATTGCGACATATACATATATAATATTACTATCTACAAACTAAAATCATGCAACTTCATATCAAATAATTATCTAGAGTATACAATTACCCACAGCATACCCTTTTTCCATGCTTATGCGCCGTCGGGTTTAAAAAAAAAAAGGTAGAGAACAAAAGTTTTGCGTTTAATGCGCGTGGCAGAAGAAGTTTTTGCAGTCGTGCAACGTGTTAATTAAATACCTGTTTACCTAATGTAGTTTGCAAATACAAGTTTTAAATGAATGTTTGGGTCAGCTAATGGAACTGCAAACCCTTTTTCCCCCACCTTTATTGCAGATCTTACGCCCATGGACTACTATCCGGACTCGCATCCAGCGCTGCATTTGGTCGTCTACAGTGTTAACCAGAAGGGACGCTCCGAGCCGATTGTCCTCGAGAATGTGCCCATCAATGAGGCGGACAAGCGTTCAGGTGGGTGTCGCTGCTTATGAATTGTACTTTAGCTATTAAACTACAAAAAACAACTCAAAATAAAATTCCTAAATAAAAATAAGAAACAGTAACAAGAAAAGAACAAGGGAAACATGGCACATACAAAGTTTGCATTTCGCATTGTCCCCGAAGTGTGTTTGTGTTTCAGTGCAAAGTGTCCCGGGCTCCCCTCGAAGCATGCAACACGGTTAAAAGTTCGCTTTGTGAGTGGGTGGTGTTTGGTGGCAGCAAAGCATTCATTGCTTTTTAAGCACCATTTCACCTTTAAAAAGTCATTCAAGTATTTGCATAGTCTGCTTAACCGTTTTAGTTTTTTGTAAGTACAATTGTTCTTTTATTTAACGAGTTTTGTTTACGTTCGAGGGCGACAGTTGCCTCAACTTCTTGCTGCTGGCACCGCCTCCCCTCCCCCCTTGACCCACCTCGCTTGGAAACCGCGGCAAGTAGTGTCGCTGAGATTTCTCATTCATGCTTTGTTATTCAACTCTGACGTTAATTTTCTTGAAAAGTTTCCATTTTTTCTCTTTTTTCTTTTCTTTTGGAATTCCAAAAAAAAAAACAAAAAAAAATCGTGTAAATTGTGCGGAAAATGTAGGAAAGGCTTGTTCTACACGCAATTTAGAATATATTGATTGGAGTTCGACAACAATTGAACCGAAAATACTCAGACAATAATTCGAACTTAAATTTATTTAAGCTTAACTTTTTTGGCCAATTTGATGTATACAAAATTATATTATACCGAATATAATTTAATAAATATATTGCCCAGAATCCCAAAATTTCACTTCAATTAACTTCCATTTCCGTTTCCATAAATTAGAGTCAAAATAACATTTTAGCAAATCGACTTGCTAAACGCATAAATATGCAAAATATCCATTCCACATTTAAGTTCAATCAATTAGGCCGAAATCGAACATAAATTGTCTACAATAATTGTAACAAAGCGAGCCGCTTAATCAGAACTCTCATTTATGCACCTGCTCATATCATCATTGGACTAGACACACATAGCACATTGATTTATTATGATATTATATTATTAAGTAGGTTGAAATCCAGTGCGCATTTTGTGAACTACTACTGAGGGAGCTGTTGCCTCCCTCTCCATCCATCTCACTCTCTCTCTCTCGCTCTCCCGCACACGAAATGATATATTTGTAAGCTTTGTCCATTCAGCATGAACAACAAATCCACTCAATCATCTCTTTAATGCGCATTAGAGCAGCACACATCACACATACACTCACACATACTATTGGTCAGTGGGCCAATTCATGGAAAAGATACAAGATATGAGGGCATACGAGTTAGTCAAATTTACGTAGCTGCTATATAGAGCAGCTGGCTTAAGGATACACTTGCACAAGAATATAAATATTTAAATAAAAAAAGATTTAGTATGCTATTGGCATATATATTGCCGAGCACTGTCAATCTCACTTTGTTTTCAGAAATATTTACCAAGCATAAAATTTGTAGATGCGAGTTTTCCAAATTTGTTCATATTTTCTATAAACTTGTCTGCTCTCGGTTCGCAATATTAAAAATAAAACAAGTTAAAAATGTTATCAAATTGTGAGAGAACAATAAATTGAATTCCAAATGTTGCATTTAAGACTCAATAATTCAAAACTCAAATTATGCCAAAACTGAATGCATAAGCAAAACTTTTGTCAGTTCTATTCTTTCGCATTCTTCAAATATATGTTAAGAGCTATATTTAATATTTTACTTATGAAGAACACTTATGATAACACGTAAGAAAGCTCTAAGCGGTGTGCCCGACTAGTAGATAGCCCAACCTAGTCCTATCTGTTTGTATCGAGCATTAAAAAAAACAATAACAAATAATAACCGACATTAGAACACCAAGATTCGAACCACCACAAGACGCGCATCAACTCTAGCAAATAAATACAAATTTGAAGGGCATTAAATATAGCTACAAAAATATATTCTATATAGGTATATAGTAAATATAGTAAATAAGGTACAAATAAATAGTTATATAATAAAAATAAGTATAAATATTAATATATTAATTGTTTTAAATTTTTTATTTTATTTTCTGACTTTTTATCATTTTATCTATTTTTAATGAGAGAAAATTTTCATAAATATTTATTGTGTAATACATAAATAGATTATTTAGCAAACATTTGCCAATTTTTTCTTTCTGCTGTTGAGCACATTGACATGATATAAAAGACAGACAAATATATGCAACTATATAAACAGCTAATGATAATGCTGATTTATATATACATATAAAATACAATTTCTCAGCTGTTTTCTTACATATATTAGTATGTAGTAAACATATAACTAAATTCAGAACTTGGAGGAGAGCTACTCTTAAGCCGTACGAGATTTCATTTAATAACTGCATTAATAATGTCCCATTTTCAATGTGTTCAGTGCATAAACAGACTAACTTCAGTGCTAATATAAACTAGTTTTATGTCAAAATTTTGCATATGTAATTAATAAAACGAAGTAGAACTAGATTTTTACGAGTGTGTAACTATGTGAAACAAAGGTGTGTAGGTGTGTGTGTGTGTTAGTGTATATATATTGCATGCGAGAGTAATACGGAAAAATGCAATATACGTCAAGTGTCAATATTTGCACCTTGGCAAATTTGAAAGCATTTCATTCGACACTTAACTGGATAGATTTGGATGCCGACACACAGGGCACACCGACACAAAGTTTGGAGTAGGGGGTGTGGGAAGTGGCAAGTGGGACCACTGGGAAGCTGTGGAGTTTTTTGGAACAGTTTACAATGGCAACGCCTTGACGCCATCACATTAATGTAAATATAATCAATTTCATGTTTTACCTTAGCCAAAAAGAACCACGCAGTGAAAAGAAATATCTTGTTATGCTAAACTGACACACAGAGATTCCCCAAGAGTTACATTATCCACATTGAGCATGCCAGGACTCTGCCACACACAGCATACATAGGTATATATAGTATATATATATAAAAAAAAAAAAAAATATATATATATATATATATATATATATGGGCGCATCTGCGACGTCAAGGTAACAGCATATCAGACGACAGCCAACGGAAACGTAACAGACACTGAGCCACAACCTGGCTGCCACACAGTTACTGGCGCTGCCACTGCCACTGACACTGCCAGCGTGCCACATGCAACACAAAATATAAACGATTACTGTAAGACAAGAAAAATATACATTAAACATGTCTTATCTGAATAAAATATCCCAAAAGACAACGGCGCTGAAAGTAAAGTAAAATAAAATTATATCCTATATATAGGTAAGGCAGATCGAAGTGGTTGCTGTTGGCTGGTGACTGGTGGCTCTGCCCTGCCAGCGGTTTGGCTGCCAATGTGCCCGCCTTGATGAAAACGGCGAGCTACGGCGATAGGCCAACAGGGTGCAGAGTACAGTGGGTAGCAGATGTGGAATGGAGGCGAATGTATGCGATACGGATACTACATTGTTTGGCATTCTGGCATTCACACACCCATACACACACACTCCCACACACCCGCATACACATATACAACATTTTATTTATGCTTACTTTGTGTAAACGTAAACGTAACCGTAAACGCATTCCCGTTTCGGCGCCGGAGTCGAAGGCAACGTCTCGGCGGGCATGTGAGCAGCATCGTCATCGTAATCCCAATACATTTTAACCAATCCACTTTTTCATCGTTTCATCGAATCATTTATATCACAAACGGGAGCATTAAATCGAATTAAGCTTATAAGCAGATACCAACCCCCCTCCAGCCCCCGGTGGACACAAGTAGTAGACGAATTGCTACGTCCTGCACTCAGCAAATGAAACGCATACAAACAATTGGCTTATGAGCGGCACGCAGGACGCTGTCTGGGCTATGTTTGTGATGTGGTGCCGCACTGTGGTGCTGTGGTGCTGTGGTTGCTGCTGTGGCATGCAGCATACAGGTTCTCGGGTGTCGCTTTGGCTGCTCTGGTTGCCTGGCTTATCTGCTTAACTTCGGGCCATGTGCCTGCCGGCCCGCTCCCCAGTGTAAACGCTGCTCTGCTCTGCTCTGCTCTCCGTTCGCAATCCTCAGTCCACCTCAGTCCTGCGTCCTATCAGCTGCATGCTTTATTGATAAATATTTGCACAAGTGTGAAAATTTCATTACGCTGCTCTGCTTATATTTAAATTACTTTCTTCATTCGCTTTATATGCCCTTGCCGAGGGTATTCCAATTTCGTGCTCAAGCATGGGACACGCGTGAGTAGGCATCAGAAAGTTGATATATATTCTCGATAGGGATGAACTATTGAGTGGATAGACGAAAGCCCTAGAGCTGTCGATTAAACAAAATACTTTCATTATGCAACATTTTATTATTTATTAGCAAATCTTGAAAGTTGGAATCTGTTAGTAGCAATTGAGCTTCAATAGAGTCTTCCAGTTCATCATTTGGGTACAAAGTAAGGCATATTAAGTCGAATATATGATATAGCTTCCGTACAATCTGCAGCCCGCAGAGCATCTGATCTTCGTTGTACCGATGTTAGCTCTTCTTAAATTGACTTCAACTTGCCTGTCGTTTGGCATCAGTTTCAAGTGTCTTCCTGCTAAAGAATATATTTATGTGTGTGCTTGTGTTATATATACATATATATGAATTTATTATTTGGCCAGCGATTGCTCAGTTTGGCATTCCTTTATGGTCTGTGTGCTGGGCTTCTTTTTGATGTGCTCGGGGATTTGTATGCGCTGTCTAGCTTTGAGGTAATGCGATGCCAATCTATTAAGTAAACTGAGCATTCACATGGACTCACATATCTTATTGTGATATGTATTCAAAGCAGGAATGCAAAGCTATTTTCAAAACGAAACTGATTTATACCTCGGAGATACAACATTGAAGCTTTAGTTGAAAAGAAAAATACAACTTTTCAATTCGCCTTCGGCGCTAGGCCTTTCATCAAACCATTAAGTCTAAATGGAATTTTAATTAAATTTATATTATAAAGTAAAAACCTGACAGGAAGTAAATATGTATATTTAAAAATCATTTCTTTATTTTCTTATATAAGCTTAAGTAACTCTAAAAAACTCTATTCAAAAAAAAGATAATTATATATTTTATCAATGAGATATTCAAAACTTAATATATTTATATATATTATTAGAAAAGTTTTCAATGCAAAGCTTTGAAGTTATCAAGGCATTTGTTGCCCACCAAGCCTTAAATTGTATTTAATTAAATCTTAAAAAAAACATTTAATTTGTTGGTAGATTCGCACGTTTCCTGTAATATTTTTGTGGATTTTTGCAAAAGTCATGTGCCAACAATTACAACACATGCACCAGGCTGTGCGTATTTGAAAATACAACCAATACATACATAATATGTGTGTCTGTGTGTGTAGTTGTACTTCTAAGCGCAGCCATGCATAAATGAGCAATTCCGCTCGCAGCGCTGTTTCGTCAACATTTGGTGAACAAAAAATAACAAAAACCAAAATAAAAAAAAAAAATATTTATTGATTTGCAAGTTTGGTTTCGCTGCTGTCGACAGGCGTCTGGCTGACAGGCGCAGGTTTATAAATTAGCAACAGTCTGTGCGACTACACACAGCTCCCTTAGCTCCGACGTCACGCCCAGCCACCCCGACGCAGTTAGCCAGCTTTAGCTTCGCCATTTCGCCATGTTTGCTTATTGAAATTCTGTGTTGCATATCCGCAGGCGCGCATGATTTGTTGAATGTTAAACACATTTCAACTACACCACGTTTGCGTTAACGTAAACGAAATACTTATGGCCTTGTAATGCATATTCAATTACGCCAGCGTCAACACCAACGGTCAATGCATCCAAAAATCAAACGACTTTTAATTAGGGTCTCGCTCACAACTAACATCGGCAACAGCAACATAGGCCTGTGAACTAACAACACTCAATAGACCTTTGAAACTGGTTTCAATTTTTCTATTGACTTTTGTAACTATCTTCCACATGATTTGCATTTTAATTAACAATTCTAATTTCAAATCAAACTATTTTCTGCTCTTCATTTTCATTTTTTTTTGTCAATGAATAGAAGTTTCAATCAAATCGAAATGTCAAATAAATCGAAATTTTGCTCACATTTAATTTAAACAGTATTTATTTGACTTCATGAATGGGAATCAAGATTAAAAGAAACACATTTCATTCAAAATCATCATCATCATTTCATATAAAATAATTTCATATTTTTGTTTATTTAATAATAATATTTTTGTAAAGCAAAATTATACAAATATATATATATATATATATATAAATATATTTGTAATAGAAATTAAACATTTTTTGAGTATCTATTAAATAAATTTTTATAATTTTGCTTTACAAAAATATATTATATACATATATATATATATATATATATATATATATATATATATATATATATATATATATATATATATATATACATATTATGCAGATTGAAAATTTTAATTTCCTGGATTTTTATACAATAAACTCATTGAATTTAAGATTGGTTTTATGACAATATATACATAAGAAGGAGACGTGGCACACTCCATATATTCGATTTAACCATGTCTGTCCTTCTGTGCCTCCGTACGAAAACAACAATCTCGTAAACTAAAAGGGCAAGAGACTTGAAACTTTAAATATATAATCCTGCAACCATATACAATGCAAGCTTATCATACTTTTCGAATAACTCGGCCGATTTCTTAATCCCTTGAGCTTGAATGCCAGAAAAGATGCAAAATTTAAGTCCTCCAATCAAATGAATATCATGAATGTATTGCTTTATAATTTAGTGTATCGTCTAGTCAAACACTCCCGACAAGAGAACTCTCATTTCTTTTGGATTGATTTGAATATATGTCGAAAAAAGTTATATAAAAATCTAAAATTATAAAAATGAGAAATCTTACATTTCTATCCTAAGTATCTAAAGTAGTTACCGATGTTTAGATTTTTCTTAATTCGTTATTATTAATTAATTCTTATGCCTTAAGACTACTCCAAAGTTATAAGATTTTTTTAATTTGAACCGCAAAAAGATGATTTTCGTATTCACATTTTTTTATAGATTGGGTCATTAAAATCAGTTTCCAAATAACCAGTTAATTTAGTTTCGCTCACTTAACATATTGTCTTTTTCACTTGCAGATGGACGCATGGGTCTATCCATACTGCCGCTGGCTGCGCTGCTCACAGGCACACTCTTCACCGTGGGCATAGCCGTGTTGTTTGTGGTCGTCATAGCGGTGCGTCGGCGCCGCTGCCAGGGAGCACGCAATTTGTGCGATGACAAGGACAAGCATTTGGGTGAGTAGAACTAAAGTGGAGGCAGACCGGGGCAGGTGAAAAAAATAACTCAGGCACCATTTCATTTGATGCGTCAGGTATGGACGTGACGGTCACTGCGCCGCTGGAGACAGGCGCCGGGCATCAGCGCCTGGTTGTGGCCTACACGCTGAAGCAGGGCATCGAGAAGCAGCCGGACATACTGAGTGCACAAAAAAGCGCAACTGGCAGTGACACATCGTCGCCGCTGGGAAATCGACAGAGTGGTTTATTTATGGGCGGCAGCAATGGCGCCGCGCCCAGCGGCACAGCGAATCATAAAACTGCGGAATATGTAAGTAGTTGTAGTTGTTGTTGTTGTTGTTGTAGTAGTAGGAGTGCTCAGCGCACACACATGCGAAAGGCGTTGCAAGCTGACATTTGGCATATTGCAGGATGTGAATGTGCCGCACCTGAATAGCCCGCCCTCGCAGTCCAGCACTCTGAAACTGGAAAGTGAGAATGCAGCGAAAAACTATCAGCCGCCAGGTGCAGCGGCTGCTCCGCTACTGTACGATGCCATGCCGACGCTTAGCCGCTACGAGCAGCTGGGCCTGAATATGGGCAGCTATGCTGGAGGCGGAGGTGGCAGCAACAGCACACTCAGCTCCGCCGGCAGCGTGGCCAACTCCACGAGCAATGCGCACGGCAATGGCAGCAGCAGCAGCGGTGGCCATTATGGTGTCCAGCATTTGCATCACACTCTGCCCCATGGCATGGCCTCGGGCAGCTTGCCACGCGGACGGGATCCGCTAACCTTGGCGGATTACCTCACCACCAGCAGCCTGATTGACTATAATCTGAGCAAGGCGGCAGCCACAGCCGCGCCGATGGGCACGCATATGACGCTGCCCAAAGGCTTGGCCGGCACAAGTCTCTCGCCATCGCAGCTGACCACCATTACACAGAAATCGAATGCTGGACGCAATCACATCATCACGGACACACTGCCCGGCCCGGAGAGCTGCGTCTAAGCTGCGACCATCGAACTATCCTGGCATCAAACTAAAGACTGGCGCACAACCGAAATAGAGATTCAAGAGAAACAGAAACAGAAACAGAAACAGAAATCGAATAGAAAAGCAGTAATTGAAGTAGTTGAATGAGAAATACGTATAGTAAATATATATATATAGAGCTAGGGCAAACACTTACCAAAATAAAAGCAGTAAACTAACTATGCGTAACTAGCAAACAGTTCTACGATCGTGTCTCTAAGCATTAAATTCTTATTGTTAGACCTAAATGTAGTTTTTAATATTTAGTCAATGTATGTGTTCGTGTGCATGTGTGTCTGTTTGTTTGTACATGTTTAGTGTAAATGTATTTCTAGTTGTAAACATATACATACATAATTATACATATATATATAGACATATATATACAGCCAGCTAATCAGCATCAAGTTTGATCATCGCAGCTCACAACACAGATATAATAAAGCATGCTTCTTCGAAAGGATACTGGTGCAGACATATCTAAGCCTGGAATATCTGAGCAGATCTTCAAAAGGGAATTGTTATACCTAGGAAACATCAATTCAACAAGATTTCAGTTCAGATTTGTAATCCGACGTATTAAACGATATCCGACCTATGAACAGATATCGCTATAAAGGTGAAAATTGAGATTTTAGGATTCTGAAATTTGGTCTAAAGTAAAATCCAATAATATTTTTACAAATAACTGAAGTTGTCGTTAAAGCGGGTTCCTATAAACAATCATTATATCAATTTGAGTAAACATAAACTAAGTATAAGCAGATATTCATGCTTGATGCTGAGAGCGAGGCCGAACTATTATAAAAATCATCTTGTTGAATTTTGCAGTGTACTTCCAAGCAAACCCCGAAGTGTTGTTAAGATAAGTTTTCATTTCCTTTTTTCACTCGATGAGAACACATCCCAAAAATACAAAAAAAAACATATCCTTTGCTGTCCAATGGAGCCTTTACCGTTACTTAACCGCAACTATTTGAACTGCTGCCCAAGATCAAAGTCGAAAAACAAGCATTTCACATTTGGGGGTCAGCCCGATGGGAAAAAGTTATATTGGGAACACGTCGTGGGCCATTGCCTGTCCCACGGAGAGTGCGAGCGAGAGGGTGAGCGGGGCTAGGGGAGAGCGAGCCATTTTGGCCATTATTTAACTTTTAAACACGCACCAGAAACAGCAGCCCGGCAGATTTGAATTTAATGGGCATTGGGCATTGGCCATGGCTAACAGGCCAGCCAGTCAGCCAGCCAGCTAGCCAACAAGTGAGCAATAAAGAAAAGTTTAGAAAAATATGCGATAACCGCCCTGTGGATACCCATAATAAGCTCACGAACGATTGAATGGCCATGGAACACAATAAAAGCTGGCTAAGGACTCAAACAAACTGCGGGGAGTGCAGGAGCTAGCGAAAACTCGGGCATGAATTTGTGCGCACGATAGCGCAAAATGATGACAATAAATGGAAAAGTTTTTAATAAGCCAATAAAATGATTTATATGGCTAACATCGAGCGAGCAAGAGAAAAAGGGAGAGAGTGGAAAGATCTAAAGCATTTGCCGCACTCAGCAGGTTTATTAATCGTAGGCCATAGTCCGATTGTTGAATTACTAACTGCTTCCGACAATTTAATAAACAAGACATTAAATCACTTATTAATTTCATAAAACAATTTTTAGATTTTATTTCAAGGACAAGCAAAAGTATAGGCTTTGCTTAAGAATAATAAATAAGTCTGTTCCAAATCATAATCAACAATGGACTGATTATCCGTTTGTCTCTATATTTGATCGAATCTATCTTTCAAGAGACTTGAAAGATTCAGCCAAGTACTTCCGACTCGATCACTTCAAATCCTCTCTGTAAGGCAATTGTGAAAGACAATTCAGTTAAGCCAGAGAATACAACGAATTATTCAATCAAAATTGATAACATCTGAGATCTGAGTTGGATTGGCGGGCAGTTCAAAAAGTTGTTGGTAAATAATATAAAAAAATACATATTTGGAAAAAAATTAGAATGCCTTTTGAAAAGGCATTGCAATTGTTATCAAGGCATGTTCGCATATCAGAAATGCATCTCATACGTTTAAACTATTAAATTAATAAGTGTTCAAAGGTTGATCGTCGTCATCATTTGGATTTTTAGGGTCTACAAATTGCATTTCTAACGAAAACCAAACTAAAATTAATTTTTAAAAAAGATTAATAAATATAATTAATAAGAAAGTGTGAATAAAACAGAATACAAAAACATATATAAAGTTGTAAAACCGGAAAAAGCATAAATTATATTGCTATAGACAAAAGTAAAAAAATCATAAACTTCCTTCCTTCAACGTGTATAAGCTAACGTCCCCCGCTGTAGATATTCAATACGAGTAGTTGAAATTGTCAAAAACCAAGTCATGTAGTGCTACATATACATACATATATATTATGATCATGGCACAGGCCGAACAGCATATGAACATGTATCAAATGGGCCTCGCAGAGGGCAGCGCATTGTACATAAGACATAAGTAAAAACCAACGTAAGCACGATGATTGTAACTATCTATGTAAAAATGCTTAAAATATTTGTGATAAAGTAATAGTGTTAATGATAAGTAATAAAACATGACATATTATGAAAAATATATCTATTGTTTTCAGAGGGGTTTACTGGAAGTGGCTGATGGCTCCAGGTCAACAAATCCACAAAAATCGAAGTATTATAATTTGTAATTCTATATATATATATATATCTAATTCTAGCTATAGTAGCTCAGCAGTAATCCTCCTGCAAAACTGTGTTCCTAGCTCCTAGCTGCATTAACATGAAACCTAAGCAGAAAGAAACCTTAAGCTGCCGCGCCTTCTACAGTTTAACATTTATATAACATTTAGTCAATCTCTCATAATCATCAAATCCAACCACAATGCTTAAGACTCACGAATATATATTCCAAATTTCAATTCCCTAACTAAAATTCAAGTCAAGTCAGGCTTACCCAGACAAACAACCATTTATTTTTAGCTTTGGTCTAGGTGATGGATGGCTCGATCAATTGTCAACCTTAAATTAGAATTCCTGATAATATTATATACCTCCAAATTAATTTTCTTTTATTATTTATAATTGCAATAATGAGAAAATAAATACGATTTATTATTATCTTTAAATTTTTAAGTCTATTTAAAATTGATTAAAAACCTTTAAGAAGTATTTGATTTATTTTTACTATACAGCTAAATAGATTTCGGCTGACTAATGATAAATTTATGACTTGAAATATAATATATTTATTTTATAAATTTGCAATCGATTCGGCATCGACTTTCATCTGATTCTTATTAAATTATCAGAGTCATAAGCTTTACTCATACCCTTGGAGCTTCACAAACTACAATATCAGTAACAATACACGACTTTCAACTGAATCATCCATCGAAATGTATTAAAGTTCATTAAACACATAAGTGCTAAGCGTGACGACAGCCAAATTTCAGCTATTAAATGAGGTATTTCTTATTAAAAAAATAAATGTTTAAGAAAATATACCCTAAAATCTATGAGATGTTGAATGTTAAAGGCAACTCTTCCTTTGAAGCCCTTGGCTAGAGTGGACTTCAATGAAGCCTATGAGCAAAGAAATTTGTTTATATTTTAGCTAGCTATAACTAGATAATTCGTGATTAAAGCCTCAATTAAAAAAGATTTTTAAATATTTTTATATCATTAAAAATGTTTATCCGATACTAAAAGGGTATTCCAGAGTGTATTTAAAAGTCTATGCTCGACAGACTTGTTGCTGACACTTATCGCACTTTGTGAAATGAGGAAATGTTGACAGATTAAGCTGAAGCAGTGGCGTATACGGAGCTTTTCAAAAGGTATTCGTCTAGGCAATCCAATCCAATTAAGATGGCATATACAGAGGCAGAGCCTAAAAAGCAAAAAGGTATTTCGCTGCGAACCCCCTCGCCGACGCCACTGCGCGCTTACAAAAATACAGTTAGTGATTATACAGTCAGATTACAGATTTTGATTTCTGCTCAATTTTACTGAAAGCTCAGTGTCACCGCGTCTTTGGCTTCAGCATCAGCGTAATGAAGGCGTTCACAAGTTTTTTGCTGCTCACTTTTGGCGTTCTAGCCTGCACAGCCAAGGTATGTAAATACGATAGATTCCTTGCACTATAATCAATAATAATTTGCAGTATTATCATGAGCCTAATGCACCTAAGCTGCATATAACCCTCTACTATGAAGCACTCTGTCCTTATTGCATGGCATTTGTAACGAATCAGCTAAGCCCGTCGATGGTGCTCAAGGATCGACTGCACTACACGAACCTAACGCTTGTGCCTTATGGCAATGCCAAAGTAAGTGATTCGCAGCGGACTAGACATGATATGAATGAATATTTGCTACTTCAGTTGGACGACAAGGGTGAGCTGACTTGCCAGCACGGCGAGGACGAGTGCGAGCTTAATGCCTGGCATGCCTGCATACTGGAGCACAATGACATCAACATATCATTAAAGCTAATTGCCTGCATGATGCGCGGTCGCAAAAATAATCTAGACAAGTGCGCCAAGAGATATCACATTGATGTTACTGCTGTGAAGGACTGCAAGAGCTCGCGCAGCGTGGATAATATATTAAAAAAATATGGCGAAGCGACAGCTGAGGTGGACTTCAGCGGCGTGCCAGCCATCGCAGTTGATGATGCAAGTATAAGCAGCTTAAGCTCAAGATTATATTACTAACTATTTTCCGTTTTCAAGCAGGAATATAATGCCGATGATCAGGAAGATCTAATGGCTATTTTTGACCACACATTCTGTGCCAAATACAAAGCCAAGTTTAACATAACACTTAATAATTGTTAACAACGTTATTTTAGAAACATTTATGGTTGCTTATTACATATATACAGATATTGATATTTTGAATGTCACAGAGTTTTCTTTCACACATAAAATTGTTTGATTTTGGCCAACGATAGATGAAATGACTTCAATACATAATTAAAAGAAATATTCAACAGATCACAATTCGAATAACTAATTTTAGATGCATATGAAACTTAGTTTTGGACACATAATTGAATGAATAGCTTATCATTTATGATTTAATCAGTTAGTTTTTCTTTTCAAGCATTGCAATAATTTTGTCCAGCTTTGCAGCTTGTTGCGCTTCGAATGCATCCAGTCTTTTAGTGATAGTGTGTTGAAGCTGCTCGAACTTGGCATCGATATGTTGCTGTACAGTTGGGTTAATGTCAACGGCAGTGGCTGATGACATCGGTACAGGCTGTGCAGGACAGGACAGCCCCTTCATCATGCACAGAAACTTTTGTAACTTTCGATCATCGTCCTCGGTTTGATTGCCACCTTTTTGCAGCAACTCCTGTATATTTTGTATGTCGAATGTATTTTGCAGCTGTGTGGTGATGCCATTCGGATTTGGAGCTATGTGCAACATAGCACCATAAATACAAATTTCTTTAGCCGACGTCAGCAGCTTTAGATTAATCTCAGATATGCCGGAACGATCGATTTCGACATCGTAACGATAGGGCCGTATGGGTATATCGGCCTCTTGTTCTTCAATGCTGGTGCCGTAAATGGTCTCCAGATACTCCTGAGTTGGACCAACAAAGAGCTCCACTTTGGGTGCGCTACACACAAGCGTTATGGCGGCAATTTTAAACTTTGGTGATATTTGAAATTGCAACTCACAGGGTATTGTTGGGCAGTCATTGTTTGAGAACAAAACTGCGCGTTCTTCATCGATAACATCGTCCAAGTCGGGCCTGCAATAGTTATAAATAGATATGTGTGTAAACCAGTTTGGGCGTGTATGCATTTTTAACTGTAAATGGAAATCCTTTGTCTTACTTTTCAAAGACATCTTCGTCCGAGTGCCGTGTGGGCACCACCTGATGCAGCTCTTTGCCGGCCGTTTGAGCCCAGCTGCATCTTGCAATTACTTTTTCTGTCATAACTCTCAGTTTTATCTAATGATAGTAATAAAAAAAAACTATTGCTGCAAGTAATATCAAAAACGCTTTGTTTGTGGCTGCTTCTTCTACACTACAAACCCAAGGCTGCCCATCTGTTGCGTTAGCAGGGCCGAAAGCGAAACAAACACAGAGTTGCATTTTTCGATACGAGTTTGGCGCCAAACGTAACAGTCTTACGTAACAATAACCGCGACCTGCCCACACAGCGTTGCAATACGCTATTTTGACAGCTACGACCTTGATAAGCCCCCTTGTAGGTCATACTTTAGCGAATCCACAGGAAAGCGACAGTGCTATAAGCGCCATCGCCGCAAGTATAACAATATTTTCCGTAAACTAGTACAATTATCAAATATGGGTGGCAAATACAAGATTGTAATGGTACGCCATGGCGAGTCCGAGTGGAATCAGAAAAATCAATTTTGCGGCTGGTTCGATGCCAATCTGAGCGATAAGGGTAAATCCGAATTCATATAATAAAAGACATAACAATCAATCAATACTTTGTGATCAGGCAAGGAGGAGGCTCAAGCTGCAGGCAAGGCCGTTAAAAACGCTGGCCTCGAATTCGATGTGGCGCACACTTCCGTGCTGACCCGCGCACAAGTCACTTTGGCCAGCATTCTGCAGGCCAGCGGCCACAAGGAGATCCCCATTTACAAAACCTGGCGTCTGAATGAGCGTCACTATGGTGGCTTGACCGGCCTGAACAAGGCTGAGACCGCCGCCAAATATGGTGAGGCTCAGGTTCAAATCTGGCGTCGCAGCTTCGACACACCCCCACCACCCATGGAGCCCGGCCATGCCTACTATGACACCATTGTCAAGGATCCACGTTACGCTGATGGACCCAAGCCCGACGAGTTCCCCATGTTCGAGTCACTGAAGCTGACCATCGAGCGCACACTGCCATACTGGAACGATGTCATCATTCCACAGATGAAGGAGGGCAAGCGCATCCTGATTGCAGCCCACGGAAACAGTCTGCGTGGCATTGTCAAGCATTTAGATAGTAGGTCTCAGTCTCTATCAATTCTCAACAGCTTTTAAACTATCCACTTACTCCTTATAGATCTCTCTGAGGATGCCATCATGGCCCTGAACTTGCCCACTGGCATACCGTTTGTCTACGAGCTGGACGAGAACTTCAAGCCCGTTGTATCCATGCAGTTCCTGGGCGACGAGGAGACAGTCAAGAAGGCCATCGAAGCTGTTGCTGCCCAGGGCAAGGCCAAGTAAATCAAAATCTCTGTCTCAAAATAAAAGAGCACAATTGCTAGACATTATTAAGTTCAGCTAGATGCTGGATCTATCCTCCCGTTCGTTGTTGTTGTTCTTGTAGCACTAATCGGTTCATCCCCACTTCCCAGTACAGTTAATAAATAATTTATTATAACACAAGCCAAAGGTCAAATCTGGGTTTTATTACATTCATTTCCGTAGCTGATTAGATCACTTGCGTTTCTTCTTGCCATCTTTAGCTAGTTCCAGGCCCAATATGCACTTGGGGGGCACCTTGTAGGTCTCCGTGAGTAACGTGTAGATAAAGCGAATTTGATTACCCTGCACCTGCAGCTGCTCATGCTTCTGGTGCGGCAGCTTGACGATGCTCGTGCTGGCGGCAGCTCCTTGTTTGCACAGCTTTATTAGCTCGGCCATGATGATGCCGTAGGCTTCGATGTTACTCACCAGGGTCACTTTTTTGTTGCCCGACCTTGTGGCCAGGGACATTTGTATTTGTGGCTTGCCGCTGGTGTCCTTGCCGCTGCACATTTGATAGGAATGCTCCATTTTACTCGTAATAATGGAGGTTATTTCGCTCAGTGTACCTTCACGATTGCCGCACAGCTCCTGGAGCACAGCATCGGGATGCACCAGCTTTGTCTGCGGATTGCTAAGACCATGTTTGCTCACATACTCGCGCACAATCTTCTTGACCTGGCCCACGGGAATGCCCTCGCCTCGTTTGTAGTTCATCTTTGTAAAAAATGCGGCGGTTACATCAGAAACAATATACATCTCTCTCAGTTCCGAGTGGAATAGGGGTGTTTCTGCAGCTGCGCCGCTGCCATCGCCTGTCTTCACATCGGTTATAAAGTTTACCAGTTCTGGATGCTCCAGATCAACAGAGATTATCTTGTCTACGCCTTTCGTCTCCTCACGCACTACTATAAAGCCCTGATCGACCATCTCTGCCAAGAAATTGGACAGCTTCTTGTAGCGCGTCTTCTTTAGATCAATTTGCTCAGCGGCTTCGGTCACCACGTAAAGCCTAAAAAAGTTGCTCGTTAATAGGGGTAGCGGCAGCTTCTTGCCATTGTTCTTAAGCGCAGCCAAGAATGCATTTTTAAGCAAAGTTTCCGGCGTGGCTTCATCAGAGGATGAGGTTGCAGCAACGGCTGCAGTTTCACTAATCTCATCCAGCGATAAGGCAGCTGTGGTGGACTCCAATTCAACTGGTTCTATTGCTTGTGATATGAATGCAGGTTCCTGTTCGATTTGTGGAGCTTTTGTCGCTTTGCGCTGATGATCCTGGCCACCCAAGACTGGAAAGTCCTCACTCGACAGAGGTTTCGTCTTATTCAGCGGTATTTGCTGCAACATACTGGGTTCGTGTGCCCACAGCTTATCACCGAACATGTGCAGCATTTTAACAGCCACGCCATGGCCCCCACACATGTATAAATCATCGCTGGAACGCGCCAATTGACCCACGCCCACAGCTGAGCTATTGTTTGTCAAATTAACTGCCACTGCAAAAAAATTGTATTTAGAATTACCGTTCGAATTTGTACACAATACTTAATGTGCAACACACTCACTCAGCTGATCCTTCTTGAAATGCCCGTACATGTTCAGTCCAACGCCAAGGGGCACCACGCCGGGCAGCATCAAATCCGCTCCATTCGATAACTTCGGCAGCACACCCTCGTGCGTGCTGAAATAGGGCAGTATGTCGGGCGTTGCCCACAATGTGTAGAGTGTGGGCACCAGCTGCCCGCCATCCAGCTCGAAGAACATCGGCTGTTTGTCCACACAGTAGATCATGCTTGGCTGGCCGCCATGTGTGAGAATTTTCAGCTGCGTCACATTCGCCTTTGCCGGTATCAAATTTTCTGCCGGCACATGGGGAAAAGCCAATTCGAGGCGGGCCCGCAATTTCTTGGCTTCTGAGCCTTTGAGAGCGGCACTGCTCTTCAATCTGTAGGGTTTTAAAAACATGACCGGGGCTTACGAACAATTTGCGTACGTAAACTAAACAATCAAAATAAATAGAAACTAACAGTCGTTCACAATAGACGCACGCTTTTGCCTGCAGAGCAAAAAACAGCTGATTCGTGATTGTCAAAAGCAGTTAAAAAATATAATTTAAAAATGCCCAATTTTTTTTAAATTTTAGTTATTTTTATAATTAAGTTACTTGTTTTTTGAATAATTAACTCACTCTTTCTAATTAATCGAAAATAAATTTAAGTGATCATTCACAATAGATTTGAACTGAAACCCTCTGCGAAATTTGCTGCCGGCTTGCCAATGCCTTGAAATATGTATTTACTATAGTGACACATATGTACATGTATAAAAGAACAGTTTATAATGAATTATTTAGTAACATAATATATTTAGAAATTCCTTTCTTTCTTTTTTTGAAGACAACAAGCGATGTTTGTTTTCCCGCCCAAAGCACATATGTTTATGTATCTATTTGAATTTTCCTGGAAAAACAGCATCAGGAAAAATTGCAAGATCAAAACGGCGCCATTTTATTAAACATTAGAAATTATGTTAACATAACATAACATATGCTGCCTGCAAGCAGTCTTAATGATAATTAAATACAAACAATATATGCCATTACTTCAACTTTTGCCGACTTCGTACTATCGTTTCAATATCCCCCTACTATGCCTACATATGTATATATATATTTATTTGTAACATAAATATAACAGCTCTAATCCGAGTCAGAATCCGAGTCGACTTCGCAGGTATTCGAATTCTTCGCTGTTGGCGGATCATAGAAGTGCAGCTGCTTGCGCCAGATCTTAACCAATCCATCAAATGCTCGACGGCTGTACTTGCCAAATTTGTTTGGCGTCCTGGGGTGCTCACGAGTGCGATCACTCTTTGGCACCGTCTCAGTATATCTTTCATATGCAGCCGTGTTTTTTCCATAGTCGATCTGTTTTTGACGGCGGGACAATATAGCGGGATCTGCCTCTGTATACGAGGATGATGATGAGGTTGATGAAGTGTAACTATTATGGCGCACACGCTTCTCCTCCTTGTGTCCCTTGAAGTGATGTGCCTTGGTACATGGATTTCCCTCATTAGTTGTGGACGATGCGCTGCTATTTGGACTGTTGGAGCGGCTATTCTCAGTACTTAGTGTAGGCGGCGTTACAGAGTGTCGTCGCTTAAAGGGCGTCTTTAATTTTTCTTCCTTGACCAGACGCTCAAACTTTTCTTCATTGCTGCCATCAAGGAACTCAAGAGTCATTTCGCGTTTTTGTTGAGCAGCTGTGCTCCCGGCACTGCTGTTGAAAGATGACGAGGCCTAAGCCAACAATAATTATTTAGCTAACTCCTTACAATGGATACAAATCATATATTACCTCATCGCTATGTCCTAGCTCAGCGCGAACTTCTTGTGCCCAACTGTTTAGCGGCTTTGCGTCCATCGAAATGGAAGAACCAGAAGAATTTAAGCTGCCTGCGCGTTTTAATGGTGTCGCTGCATCTACAGACATGCGTTGATCCTCGAACATCATGTTGTGACAGTTCTTTTTGGTTTAAATTGTATTTACTATTAAATTCGGTAAATACGTAGGTGAGCGCAGCAAAATAAAATTCTGTTTTGTTCGCTTGCGCTACTTGTTCGCGCGTTTTTGTTGCTGCGATGCTAAGTTGCGACGAACTTGTATGTCGATAGCTATCGATAACAATGCAAAATAAGGTTGCCATTTCTTGATGAGGATTTGATTGACAATACTGCGCTATGTGTGACTTGCAACACTCAAGTACACAGCGAACATTGTGCAACACTATAACGTTTGGTGATTTAGCGTTTTTTCGGCATAAAAGAAAAGTCTGTGTAATATTAAAAACTGCAATCCATTGGTTAGTACAGAAAAAAATTACTTGTCTATGTTGTAATCAGACAGTTTTTGGATTCAAATTATTCATATGTTACATACACTTTCGTAGAACATATTTATTATTGGGGACAAAAAACAACGCAAGCAAAAAATGAGCCTCACATCCGCCGCGGGGATAATATCCCTACTTGATGAACCAATGCCAGATCTTAAGGTATTCGCTTTGAAGAAGCTGGACAATATTGTGGATGAGTTCTGGCCCGAAATTTCCGAGTCGATTGAAAAAATCGAAATGCTGCATGAGGACCGAGCCTTCCCTGAGAACAAACTGGCTGGCATGGTTGCTTCCAAGGTGTTCTATCATCTCGGCTCTTTTGAAGATGCGCTCACATATGCGCTGGGCGCAGGCGATCTGTTCGATGTGAATGCCCGCAATGAGTACACGGAGACGATCATTGCCAAGTGCATTGATTTCTATATTGCCCAACGAGTTGATTTTATTGAGAATCCAAAGGAGGCAAAACCAGTGGATGAGCGCTTGGAGGGCATTGTAAATCGTATGATTCAGCGGTGTTTGGACGACAATCAATACCGCCAGGCTCTCGGCATTGCGCTGGAGACGCGTCGTATGGATATTTTTGAAATATCCATCATGAAATCGGACGATGTGCGCGGCATGCTGGCTTATGCCTACAACGTAACCATGTCGCTGCTACAAAATCGCGGCTTCCGCAATCAGGTGCTACGATGCCTAGTCGGACTGTATCGGGATTTGGGAGTGCCAGACTACGTGAACATGTGTCAGTGCCTAATCTTCCTGGAGGATCCACTGGCCGTTGCTGAAATGCTAGACAAATTGACAGGCTCTTCAGTGGAAGCTAACAATCTGATGGCTTATCAAATTGCCTTCGATTTGTACGAATCGGCAACCCAAGAGTTTCTGGGAAATGTACTGCAAGCATTAAAGGATACAGCTCCTATACCCACAGCGTTGCCCAGCACATTCAAGCCTCAAGGCACGGCAGCTGGAAGTAGCGATACCACTGCCAAGTCTGACGATGAGAAGACCAAATCGCAAAGTGACGAGAGCATGGAAACCACGGAAGATAAAGAAAGTAAGTTTTCTAGCAAGACTTACGTTCGATTTACATATATTTATGTATTATTATTTTACCAGGCGATGCCAAGATCGAACGCACAATTGAGTCGCTGAACGATATGGAAAAGCTGCATCAGAAAAACATTGAGAAGCTTATTTCTATACTCTCCGGCGAAGTCTCTATAGACTTGCAGCTACAGTTTCTTATACGCAGCAATCACGCCGATCTGCAGATATTGCGTGGTACTAAGGAGGCGGTGCGCGTCTCGATTTGTCACACGGCGACTGTCATTGCAAATGCTTTCATGCACAGTGGCACCACGTCAGATCAGTTCCTGCGCGACAATCTTGATTGGCTGGCACGTGCAACGAATTGGGCAAAGCTAACAGCAACCGCCTCGTTGGGTGTCATACATCGTGGACACGAGAAGGATTCGCTGGCCCTCATGCAAAGCTATTTGCCCAAAGAGGCGGGTCCCAGCTCTGGCTACTCCGAGGGTGGCGCATTATACGCATTGGGTCTGATACATGCCAATCATGGCGCCAATATTATTGACTACCTGCTACAACAGTTGAAGGATGCTCAAAACGAGAATGTGCGCCACGGAGGCTGCCTTGGCTTAGGTTTAGCCGGCATGGGTACCCATCGCCAGGATCTGTACGAGCAGCTGAAATTTAATTTGTATCAGGACGATGCTGTCACTGGCGAGGCTGCTGGCATTGCAATGGGCATGGTTATGTTGGGCTCCAAAAATGCCCAAGCCATTGAGGATATGGTATCTTATGCGCAAGAGACACAGCACGAAAAAATTCTACGCGGTTTAGCTGTAGGCATTTCATTGACCATGTTTTCTCGCCTTGAAGAGGCAGATCCACTTGTCACTAGCCTCTCCACCGACAAGGATCCCGTCTTGCGTCGCTCGGGAATGTACACCCTGGCTATGGCTTACAATGGCACGGGCAGCAACAAAGCTATACGCAAGCTGCTCCACGTGGCTGTTTCCGATGTAAACGACGATGTGCGTCGCGCTGCTGTCACTGCAATTGGTTTCATCTTGTTCCGTACGCCGGAGCAGTGCCCATCGGTGGTTAGTTTGTTGGCGGAATCATATAATCCGCATGTGCGTTATGGCGCCGCAATGGCGCTGGGCATCGCATGCGCCGGCACTGGCCTGCGCGAGGCAATTGCCTTGTTGGAGCCTATGGTTAAATTTGATCCTGTCAACTTTGTTCGTCAGGGTGCCCTCATCGCATCCGCTATGATCCTCATACAACACACAGATTTAAGCTGCCCCAAGAGCACTTTCTTCCGCCAGTTATACGCTGAGGTCATCAGTAACAAGCACGAGGATGTTATGGCTAAATATGGTGCCATTTTGGCACAAGGTGAGTGAAAACCATTTATTTCAGCAGTTGCCATTCATAACATCTACTTCTAATCTCTGCCTGCAGGCATTATTGATGCTGGCGGTCGCAATGCCACGCTCTCGCTGCAATCTCGCACTGGACACACCAATCTGCAGGCTGTGGTCGGCATGCTGGCTTTCACTCAGTACTGGTACTGGTTCCCACTGGCGCACACGCTATCCCTTGCCTTCTCGCCGACCTGTGTAATTGGCCTCAATTCAGACCTGAAGATGCCCAAAATGGAGTACAGATCGGCAGCGAAACCATCTCTTTATGCATATCCGGCCCCTCTGGAAGAGAAGAAGAGCGAGGAGCGCGAGAAGGTAGCCACAGCGGTCCTTTCAATTGCAGCTAGACAGAAGCGCCGCGAGAATGCCGATAAGAAAGAGGATGAGAAAATGGATGTAGATGAGGATAGCAAGGAAAGTCCGGCTGCAGGCAGCAAAAAGGAAGATGAGAAGTCTGAAACTGCAATAAAGACAGAAGAGAAGCCAGCGGAAGAGACCAAGTCGAAGAAGAAGGATGACAAAGAAAAGAAGGGTGATGAAAAGGATAAGGAGGCAAGCACCAGCGCGATTGGCGACAAAGAAAAGGATAAGAAGGAAAAGAAGGAGCCCGAGCCCAATTTCGAAATTATGCAAAACCCGGCACGTGCCCTGCGTCAACAACTGAAAGTCTTCAGCGTGGTCGATGGCCAGAACTACGAGCCCATGAAAGATGTAACCATTGGCGGCATCATTGTATTCCAGCACACGGGCAAAGCTGAAGACCAGGAACTGGTCGAACCGGTTGCCGCATTTGGTCCAATGAACGATGATGAGAAGGAGCCCGAGCCACCAGAGCCATTCGAATACATTGAAGATTAAATGGGCATGCTGTTTGTCATTATCTAAGTAAAACATGTTTTGGTTTTTGAATATTGCATACAAATGTATTTTTCACCAAATTTACTAAAAACAAAACAAAATGAAAAAAAAAATTACACAGAGAATTAATGCTAATCTATAATTACCCATAATAAATGTTCATCACGCATGATGTAAAACGTTGTGTACTTTATCTTTTAGAACTTTATCTCACTTTTTTGTCGCCAAAACAATTTCTTATTTTGTGAAATGAGAAAATCTTATCAAAATTAGCTCAAACATCACTGTTGTCAATTGTGGATTCTTCATGTTTGAATACCAAAGCTCGTTGGGGTCCCCATCTGTTTATTAATATTAACGAGCTTTTTTAAATTGTATGCCAAACCATTTCACAATGCTTGGAAATCGCTCGCGCTCAAATTTTCAAATTATCGTTGACAAACAAATATGTTGCTCTCGCTCTATCTGCAGACAAGAAACCGTTTCATTCGGGCATAAATACATATACACTCATAGAGGCATTTGAGCGTGGTCGGTTTGCGTGAGAGAACGAGAAAACCCGATTAAAACAAAGTAAACAGTAATATTGTATGTCAGGCCGAAGCATACCTACCCTTTCAGAGACGAGCATTTCAAATTTGTATATTGATAATCTTTTATTTGTAATTTTAATTACAGAAAATACGTGCAAATATTTTAAATTTATTTGTGTTTATATGCAAATATGAATTGCTGAAACAAAAATTTGCCCAATTTTTTATATATTTGTGTACCTATAAATATTTTGATATTTATGTCAATTTAAATTAACCCAACATTAAACTTCATTTCTCTCATATAACGAGCAGGAAGGAACCTGTTTGGCCATATTTATACGAACAGCAACTGCTGCCTGTAGCTCAACATTTCTTGTGCGTTACAAATATAGTGAGAAACTAATTATACTCTAAACATCGAAAACACAGCACGAATCGGGCAGCTGATTTACACGAATACACTCACGCACTCACATATTAATGCTCTTTTTTCTCTTTTTCTCTCTTGACTGAGGTTTATTCAAAAGTTTTCTTCGTCTATCACTCGCTTCAATTCCACCATTGCCATTTCAAAAGTCGGACCGAGAAGGCGTGCATCGGTCCATTAAAATTACGCATTGTTTGTTTCACGTAAATATTGTGTAAATTCTAATTAATTACAAAAGGCAACGAATGCTAAATCAAGTGTGATATTTGTGCGGTAAAGGCCTACCCGATTGATTAGCATACGAAACAGTTGTGTTTGCATTTGCTTTTGCTTTTGCTTTGTTTGTCGCTGGGTCAATCACAGCAGCAAAACGGCTAATTTTGTATAAGACGTGTACACAAAAGAATTGCTGTTGGCCTCGACCCTAGACAATTTACAACGATAGTGTTGTTGTTGCCGGCATAATTCTGAACGTACATATTCATATATATACATCGCTGTTAAATTACATATGTGCAGTTCGTCAATATTGCTGAGACAGTGAGTGTGCATAAAATATTAATAAAACAGCCGGATACAAAGAAGAGCGAAGAGAGGAACGCTCTCTCGATTTGCGTTTTACTGGTAATTGAGTGGTGTAACGGTAAACGCAAAAGTGATAAATTGTGCCTAAAATTAATAGTAAGCCACCCATATTATGAACCGCACCAGAAGGAAAGTTGTACGTCCAAAAAATCCTTACACAAATGCAAATTTATTTTCACGATGGAGCTTCTGGTAAGTTACAAGTAGTTGTTCTTCCCCTTTGCAACACACTCACACACGCACACAAACATGTATTCTCTAACGGTAAATGATATGTGTAAATTGTACGGCGTTCGCTGACTGTTCCTTCAGCTCGATAGCACGTGTCAGACAGTATTAAGTGTCGATGTACGTAGATGTACATACATGCATGTATTGCATATGTATTTCTATATTTCTTACTAATAAGCAGCGTTGTCAATCTAGCTTTTTCCCCGTCGTATGTAGCTTTTTTAAAGAGTTGAAAGCTACTGTTTGGCGGCTAATTTTGTGCTTAAATAAAACACTGAAATTCCGCTAGCATTTGCTACCAATACGTTTTAAAATATGGGGAACATTGTTAATATGTGTGCACACTGTCATACCTAAATCGCACACACACTTGAGCGTTAGGTGTAATTTAAAGATTCGGTTTTTTTATAGAGGTTATTCACCGTTTTTTTTACTTTGTGGCATTCACAAGTTTTTTCGTCACACATACTAAATTTATATAAGTAGTGTAAATACTTATGAACTGATAAGAGTATATATAGCCGAAGCATATGTCTATTATACATATATATGTATATATATATAGACTCATATATTTATATGAATTCACATGTGTCTATGTCTGCCCATACATATGTACATATGTACATATGGACGGCGCACAGTTGCGCATATGTTCATTTTGATTAGAATTACATTGGAGAATTTTTATTAGAAAAGCATTGAGTAAATATTATTGGCAAATCGAGTAAGATTATAATCTGAAATTCAGTGAATGTGCACTAAACGCCAATGTGTAACTGTCTTTCTTATTTTATTTATATATTTTATATATTTATTAACTCGTGCTCTCGTCGTATCAAATTTTATTATGTAAAATTTTCAGTTGAATCTACGATCCTAAACATTTACTACTACAGAGCTACTAGGGTTCTTATCTTCTGAAAAATAAAGCAGTGAATAATCTTATTTCAATATTGAATGTAATTTAAAGTATACACTCAGTTTAGAAACGGACACATGGTTTTTATTACATTATTACGATAATTGGCAAAAGACCTTCAAAATGCCAGCCACAATCGTGAATGAAACCCTAAACATAACACAAATGTAATTAGTTATACCGAGTATACTTTTTTGTTATCTATGTACAATGGGGCTTGATATTAATTACTAAGTATAAATGTTGATACAATTATACAGAGCTTTGATTTGGTATTTTTAATACATAAAAACATTTATCTACACAATTACATGATATCGATTTGCCGACTTTCATATATTTCAGGTGGATGCGAGATTTGTTCAAAAGAGGTCTGCAGGGTCCACTCACAGACGAGGAGCTGTACCAGCATAGAAAGACGCTAGACAGTGATCGCGTGACGAGCAAGTTTACGGAATTGTGGGAGGATGAGAAGAAACGCAGCAATCCGAGTGTCGTTCGCATGATATTTCGTGCATATGGCTCCATGTTCGTGCCTTTGGGTATACTCTTTTCCGTGCTGGAATCATGTTGCAAGTATGTACAATAATTGATGTAGTAAAATTTAGCTAATCCTTGATTATTATTCACAGATGCCTGATGCCTTTATTTCTGGGTTGTCTGGTTGGTTATTTTGCAACGGATCAGACAACGATAACCGAGTCAATGGCTTACAACTATGCGTTAGGAATTGTGATTTGCATGTTGCTGCCTGTACTCTCATTCCATCCGTTCATTTTTTACATATTCCAAGTGGGCACTAAGTTACGTTTAGCACTGTCTGGTCTCATTTACCGCAAGTGCCTGGAGGTGTCCAAAAGCAACAGCAATGATGGTCTGCGCGCACGTGCCATTAATATATTGTCCAACGATTTGGGACGCTTTGATACAGCCCTATGCTTTTTGCATGATACATGGAAAGGTCCAATGGAATCGATACTTATTGGGTATCTAATGTACCGTGAGATTGGCATTTCGGCTGTCATAGGCGTTTCCTTTATGCTAAGTTTTATACCGCTCCAAGCGTGGGCTGCCAAAAAGGCATCCAATTACCGCCAGATGACTGCAGAACGCACAGATCTACGTGTGAAACTAATGAACGAGATTATACAAGGCATCCAGGTGATCAAGATGTATGCCTGGGAGAAGTCATTTGCGCGTGTCATTGCCCAGGTGCGTCTCAAGGAAGTGAACGCTATTCGGGGTACTGCTTACATTCATGCTGCTCTCAGCTGCACTTCGATGATCTCACCACTATCTGTGTTCTTCGCTCTATGCTCATATGTATATCTGGGCGATGCATTAACTGCCAAAAAGGTTTACATGGTATCTTCCTACTTTAATATGCTCAACGACTCTATGGTGCACTTTTGGCCTCTATCTATCACGTTCATAGCGGAGGCGTTGGTCTCGGCTCGGCGGTGCAAGGAGTTTCTGCTAGATGGCGACAGAGCTGAGGTCCCCATCAATTTGGAGCCGGATGCCAAGGGGCCCAAGAACAAGCGTAAGATAACTCAACAGGACAAACTGAAGAATGTGGAGGTAAATGGCACTCTGTTGATAAACGGTCAGACGCAGCCGACACAGAAAGAGCACAATCGGTTGCGCGACTACAGTCCCGATGCGCCTCAGAAGTGCGTGATCTTAAAGAACGTTACGGCTTCGTGGGACTCTAGTGACGGCCATCCCAATTGCGCCATTGACAGCTTCAGTACCGACATTCAGGATCAGACGTTGACAGCTGTGATCGGTCCGGTAGGCGCGGGCAAGTCCAGTCTCCTTAATGTGCTACTCGGCGAAGTGGGCATTGATCAAGGCGAGGTATCAGTTCATGGCAAAATCTCATATGCTGCACAAGAGCCCTGGGTCTTCGAGGGCACAATACGAGATAATATTGTCTTTGTGGAGGACTATAATGAGCGGCGCTACAAGAAGGTGATCAAGGTGTGCGCATTGGAACGTGATCTGGAGCTAATGCCCAGGGGCGATTTAACCGTGGTGGGTGAGCGCGGGGTCAGTCTCAGCGGCGGCCAGAAGGCGCGTGTAAATCTAGCTCGAGCTATTTACCGCAAGGCAGATATCTACCTGCTGGACGACCCGCTATCTGCCGTCGACACACACGTGGGCAAGCACATCTTTGATAGATGCATACGCGACTTTCTGTCCAACAAGATACGGATCTTGGTCACACATCAGCTGCAATATTTGTTCGACGTGGAGCACCTGCTGTTGATGTCCTCCGGCAAGGTTGTAGCGCAAGGCAGCTATCAGGAACTTCAGCGTTCGCGCCAATTTCAGTTTCTGGAGCAGACGCACGACGAGAGCGGCATAGATACGGACAGCGTTCATAGTCACATGTCGCGCAGCGATTCAGAGAAGAGCATGGAGCACCATAATCAGCATAATCCACTGTTACGACCCGATGAAACTGTGGAGGAGATCAACCAGGAACAGCAGTGCGTGGGCGCGGTAAAGTTCAGCGTGTACGCTTCTTACTTCAAGGCGCTTGAGAGCACATTTTTTTTTGGTTTGATTGTGGTGCTCTTCGTTTGCTCTAGGATAATGCTCACGGGTGTGGACTACTTCCTTTCACGCTGGTGAGACTAAAAATGTCTTCAAAAAACTTAACTTTAAACTAATAATGTATTCTTTTCGTATAGGGTAATTTGGGAAGAACAGATTGCTATAAATGGCAGTTTACTTTCTGTTCCAGCAGCCGTCAATGTCACGTTGAATGTGACCACAGAGGCACCCGTGAACGATACAGTGAACAGTGCTTTACCGACAACAGTTTCAGATGCTGAGAATAACGTTCGCCAGGAACTTGTCCTCTTCTATGCTGTTATTTTGTCCGCCACGTTTATTGTTTACCTCATGCGCACCTTTGGCTACTTTAGGATGTGTCTGCGCATTTCTTTGCGTCTGCACGATCGTCTTTTCCGTGGGATCACACGCGCCACCATGTACTTTTTTAATACAAACTCTTCGGGCCGCATTTTGAATCGCTTCTCAAAGGATATACGCACAGTGGATACAGATCTGCCGCGCACGCTGCTGGATTGCCTGGCTGTGAGTAGCATTCATTATCAAATAAGATAAACCCACAAACATTAAAATATTTGCAGTTTGCTATTGATGTCTCCGGCGTGCTTATCATTGTGGCCATTGCTAATTATTGGCTGCTAGTGCCCGCGGCAGTGATTGTCGTCCTTCTAGCCTGCATACGTTACCTTTATGTGAACACTAGTCGCAGCGTTAAGCGGCTGGACGGCATATGTAAGTCGAATGTTTGTTTTGAAGCTGGGCTATTTAAAACATGGTTCCGTTTTGCAGCTCGCAGTCCCATCTACTCGCTAACAAACCAAACGTTTCAAGGCCTAACGACGATACGTGCTCTGCAGGCACAGAGCGCTTTGGAGAGCGAGTTTCACGAGTATCAGAATGCCAATACCTCCGCCTGGTTTCTCTTCCTCTCATGTACACGTGCATTTGCCCTGTGGTCGGACGTATTGTGCATTGGCTATATGGCAGCCGTCACATTTAGTTTTTTGCTGCTGCGCAATGAGTTTAACAGCGGTGATGTCGGCCTGGCTATACTACACAGCACCACCATGACGGGCATGTGCCAGTGGGGTATGCGGCAAACAGCTGAACTAGAAAATGAGATGACCAGTGTGGAACGTGTGTTAGAATATACGGAACAGACACCGGAGCCTCCACTGGAGACGGACGAGAAATTCAAGCCAAAAACCGAGTGGCCCAGCAAAGGACGCATTGAGTTCATCAACTTTAAGTTACGCTATGCACCAAAAGAGGCGCCTGTGCTGCGGGATCTGAACTTTACCATTGAATCACGCGAGAAGATTGGCATTGTGGGTCGCACCGGTGCTGGCAAATCCTCTATTATACAGTCCATATTCCGATTGGCCTGCAACGAGGGCATGATTCGCATAGATGATGTCAATATTGAACATATAGGTTTGCACGATTTGCGAAGTCGTATATCTATAATACCACAGGATCCTGTGCTATTTTCTGGAACGCTGCGCTATAATCTGGATCCGTTGGATGAACGAACGGATGAGGAGATGTGGAAGGCGCTGGGAGATGTAGAACTTCGTTCCTATGTATCCACTCTCATTGGTGGTCTTAATTGTCGCATGTACGATGGTGGATCCAATTTTAGTGTCGGGCAGCGGCAGCTTGTATGCCTGGCACGAGCCATTCTACGTAATAACCGTGTGCTGATATTGGATGAGGCTACGGCCAATGTGGACCCAGAGTAAGTATTGAACTGGATTCCTATCCTACCGACTGTTACAATAGTTCTGATTCTCTTTGCAGAACCGACAAGCTGATTCAGCAAACGATACGATCCAAGTTTGCCAACTGTACAGTGCTGACAATTGCCCATCGACTGCACACAGTTATGGATTCGGACCGTGTGCTGGTCATGGATGCGGGCGAGGTGCGGGAGCTGGGTCACGCCTATGAGTTGCTGCAACGGCCTGATGGCTATTTACGCCATTTAGTGAACAATACGGGAACTTCGATGTCCAATGCGCTAATGCAAGCGGCGGAGGAAAGCTACAGCAAGCGGCTATTGGATGGGAGAGTCCCAGCCGAAGATCTGAATATCACGGCAGCGATGCACGAACACACTGATTAGCACAATAATAACTCACAAACACAAACACAAATCTACTTAAGATGTATAGCATTGAGAACTGAAAGTATTATGAACGTATATTGAAATGTTGTACTTAACTTTAATTTCTGTTTTGTACTTGTAATTGTGTAAGCCCCAATTCCGTATATAAGTATGTACATAAATTCATGTATGTAAGCGTGATTATATTGTTAACTTGTTACTTAAATTTCATATGCCGAATTTATGAATGCAACACTTTCGTTAGAAATATCTAATGTATACCTCCGTTATGTCTTCTTTAGAACTCGAAAGCAATTTGCACAAATCAAAATGCAACTTCAATGAAACTGCTATTTTTTATACATCTACTGTATACACTTAATATAGATACTAACTATATAGCATATAGCATTGACATTGTACTTATATATGCATGTACGTAAACACGTACAAAATCTCAATAAAGTGCCTGAGCATTATTACACCAAAAAATAAATTAAAATTGTATGCCTGAAGTGTTATTAGCTAATATTTATATTAGTCATAAAATGGACAATGCATATCGCGGATCTGAAGCAAGCAGATAAAAGAACACTAATTAAAAATATACTTTTTGTTAAGTGGGAAGGGCTTTAATCAAAATTGTCAATACTTTAAAAGTGTAGTAAAACATGTTTGGAATAACTGATTAAGGTAGACAGCTAAAGTTCAAGTGCGCACAAATTTCGACTGATAGATACCCTTTAGATATGGAGTTACGTTTGATTGATGACAATGTCTGAACATTACGTCTAATTGTTGAATATTATTCATATATTAATATAGATGATTATGATTAAAAAAAATTCTGAACGGAACAAACAAACCTAAGGCATATAGATCTGTTGCTAATATATGATCAGCCAGCGGAACATAGTTCTGTTCATACAATTTTAGCTTATTAATGATGTTTCTCCCGTTTTACGACTACGTAATCATTAAAACAATGTACAGGGTATTAACTACTCATCCATAAGTGTAGGAGGCTAACTGCTAACCTAAACTACGGAACTCTGGCCATGTTTTCATGAGGCGAGTCGCGAGCTGTGGTTGCGACTGCAGCGCGGGTGATGGTTCGCTGTCAGGTGGCATTAAGATAAAACTGCCACGAAGTGGTGCGATAGGGCAGCCCGGATCATTGATTTATAGCGATGAATCGGGAACGTAGCGCGACATTCAGTTAAAAATCAAATGGTTTTCACACACGGCCTTTAGTTACGAATTAAACGGCAGAGGCGACGGCCACACGCGGTAATTGTAACAAAGGATATGTGTGATATTTAATATGTATAAAAAAAAAACTGTGTGATATATGAAATATATATTATATATATATATAGTGATTTTTGTGAAGCTCAAGCCACAGAATGTCCGCAAAGGAGCCACGCAAACCAAATCCAGTGCTAAAGGCCAATTTTCTATCCAAGTGGTTTTTTATGTGAGTGCGCGATCTATAAATCTGTGTTGCATTGCCGTGAAAAATATTTATTTAACCATAAATATTAAGCGATTAGTCAGAAATTTAAAAAATGATACGTATATACCGAGTGCACGATAATATTACGTATACGCACAGTAATTCCCATTTCGTAATGGAACAAATGCTAAAAAGTTTTACAGAATGTGTTTGGCGCGATCAGCTCCTGCCTGCTGCCTGTGGCCTGTCAACTTGATAAGATAAAGATTGAAGCAAGGCAAATCGCTTACAGATTTATGGCAGTCTCGCAACGCTTGGCTGTCAATTTGTATTCGGAACGTGCCACAGATTCTTGGAAAATATTCTTTGCCATCACAGACACAGTGTCGTAAAGGCCACACACTCGTCTAGTTGATTATAAAGCGTCGACCTTAAAGCACATGCATTCAGCTTGGCTGACTCCATTCAACCATATTCAACTATTCCAGACGCTTTAAAATCTGACGACACCAAATCTGGAATCAAAGTTGTCGTTTGCCATATAAATCTCTGGTTCGCCGAATTCTTTTGTGTCAACTCCCTCCATTTGCCCAAAATGGATGTCCGATAATCATAAGTTGATAGGCTTAAAGCAGTTACCATAATTAGCATGCCTTTAAAGTCTTAATGAATGGAGTTTACTCTTTGGGTTTTTTTCTCTTTCCAAATACATGGAATGCTATATCAATTTCTATATATCCAGCCACATTAAGCGACTAAATTTATAGCTTACAAATATAGTTTATAGCAAAAAAATTTCTACTTGCGCAATCTAAAATAGACTTTTAAGATTCAGTTCATACTCCTATATATCTTATCAAATATCTCAAAGTTTATTCAAGAAAGCATTTAAAAAAAATATATCATTTGCGGATTAAAGGGTATTTTGTAGTCGCGTGACACACCATACAGTTTTGCTCAAAACATCCTTATCTGATATCATAAACTGCATTTGGTTTTTGTCAGCTGGTCACGTGAGATTCTGCATAAGGGCCATGGCAAGTCGATTGATCCTAAGGATTTATACGCACACGTTCCCAGCCTGGATAGTACGGAGCTATCACATTATCTGTTAGGCTACTGGGAGCGCGAGCTGAAGTCTCCGCGGCCGAATGTGCTACGCATGATCTTCAAGGCATATGGCAAGAGTTTTGTGCCCATTTGCATACTTTACTCTCTGGTGGAGATATCCTTGCAGTAAGTCCAAGCACAATGGGATCTATTTGTGAGTTTCTAAGATTTTTCCCGCTTTAGCACTATGCAACCTCTGCTGCTGGGCAGGCTGGTGTCCTTCTTCTCGGAGGGCAATGACAACGAGTCTATAAAGGCCGCCTACTTGTACGCGATGGGCGTGGTCCTGTGCTCGCTCATCAAAGCTTTGTGCTATCATCCATTCATGTTTCATCTGTTCGGGCTGGGCGCTCGCATACGCCTGGCCTGCGCTGGCCTGGTCTACAGGAAATGCCTGCGTGTCTCCGTAGCGGCTGATAACAGCGGTATGAGCGGCTATGCCATTGCCATCATGGCCACCGACCTGCCCCAGTTCAACGAGACGTTCTACTACTTTCACGAGCTGTGGAAGGGGCCGTTGGAGGGCTTGATCTTTGGCTATATTATCTACCAGGTGATTGGCTGGTCTGCCTTGGTGGGCATGGCCGCCATAATACTCTTCATACCGCTTCAGGTGTGGGCGGCAAAGGCAACGGCGCGCTTTAGACGCCTCTCGGCGGAATACGGCGACGAGCGCGTCAAGCTAATGAACGAGATCATATCGGCGATGCAGGTGATCAAAATGTATGCCTGGGAGAAGTCCTTTGGCAAGCTAATTGCACGCGTGCGCAAAAAAGAGATGGGTGCCATACGCGGCTCCATGTACGTCTATGCGGCGCTGCAGTGCACCGACATGATCTCGAAGCTCTCACTCTTTCTGTGCTTGGTCACCTATGTCTTCACTGGCAACATTGTGACTGCCCAGAAGGTGTTCATAGTGTCCAGCTATTATGATCATCTCAATCAGTCGCTGCTGCATCTATGGCCCATGGCCATTAACTCCTGGGCAGAGACTTATGTGGTTGCTCGACGACTGCTGGACTTTCTGCTGCAGCAGGAGGATCCCGCCGATGGTGGCGTAGCGAACTTTAACGATGTCGATGATGACCTGCAGCACGGCAACTATTTTGGACGCATGCACAATCCCCTGGCCATGCGAAAGAGCGTCACACTGCATGAGCTAACGGCTAGCTGGGATCCACCCAACCAGGAGAAGCGCCAGCGGCACATAGAGAACATCACCTTTCAGATCGAGGAGCAGCAATTCGTTGGCATTGTGGGCACCGTGGGTTCCGGCAAGAGCACGCTGCTGGCTGCTCTGCTTGGCGAGCTGGACATCATCAGCGGCAGCGTGGAGCTGAATGGAGTCATTAGCTATGCGCCGCAAGAGCCCTGGCTGAATCGTTGCAGTCTGCGCGAGAACATCATATTCATGGAGCCGTACGATGATCAGCGTTACAAGGATGTGTTGCGGGTCTGCCTGCTTGACAAGGACATTGATCAGCTGCCGCATGGTGATGCCACCATTGTGGGTGAATCCGGCGCCAGTTTGAGTGGCGGCCAGAAGGCGAGAGTCAGTCTGGCACGCGCCGTTTATCGCAAGGCGGATATATACTTGCTGGACGACCCGCTCTCAGCCGTGGACACTCATGTGAGCCGGCAGCTTCTGCAGCTTTGCCTAAAAGAGTTTCTCAGCGACAAGATACGCATTCTGGTCACGCATCGTGTGCCTCTGCTGCGCCATGCCGATCACATGGTGCTCATGGAAGGCGGACGTGCCTCCATTCAAGGCCGTTACGAGTCGCTCAAGAAGCTCATCCACTCCCGCATGTCCGTAGCCAACGATAGCGAGGTGGCCAAACTGCATGCCGTTCGGGCCGACAGCATCTATGAGGAGGTGCCGCCACATGAGCAGCTCTCCCAGCAGCAGCTGCAAATGCAGCTGGACGAGCACGCAGAACACTACAAGGAGCAGCAGCACCAAGGATCCGTCAAGTTCAGCACTTACAAGCAATATTTTGCGGTGCTGGGTCTGCCCCTGGTGGTGTTGCTCATCTTTGTCCTGTTTCTGCTGGCGCGTGCCTTTGAGGCCAGCATGGACATCTTTCTGTCCAAATGGTAGGTGTTTCTCTCGAATTGTACTGCAACTTGAAGCTCTACTTACACCTCTCTCAGGGCCACCTGGGAGGAAACGGAGCCGGACGATACGGAGCCAGAAATCGAACGCCGCAGAATACGCACTCGCTTGGTTATCCTCTATGCCGTGCTAATTGTGAGCACCTTGATTATGTACGTGGTGCGCACCTTTGGCTTCTTCATGATGTCCCTGCGCATTTCGTTGCGCCTACACAACTCTCTCTTTCGGGGCATCATACGCGCCAGCATGCAGTTCTTCAGGCTGGCCACCTCGGGACGCATACTCAATCGCTTCTCCAGCGACATTTTGTCCATTGACATCACCTTGCCGCAGGCCTTGATGGACTCCTGGGAGTTCCTTGTCAATGGCTTGGCAGTGATTGTCGTCGTTAGCACTGCCAACTATTGGCTGTTGATTCCAGCTCTTCTCATGATTACCCTGCTCTATTTAGCCCGCCGTCTCTACATAGGTGCCAGCAGAAGCCTCAAGCGCATCGAGATTATTTGTGAGTAGAAGATTCGAATTAAAAGATTCAAGTTATCATTTATCTGACTGACTCTCTGCAATCACAGCTCGCAGCCCCATTTACTCGTACACGAACACCACGTTTAAAGGCCTGACCACCATACGAGCTTTGAGCGCCACCAAGCGTCTGGAGCGTGGCTTCCATAGCTATCAAAATGAGAACACCTCGGCCGTTTATTTGCACGCGAGCATCAATAAGGCCTTTGCTTTCTGGACAGATCTTATCTGTGTGGTGTATATTCTGGTGGTTACATTCAGCTTTCTGGTAATCGATCGCAGCTTCTACAGCGGAGACGTGGGTTTGGCCATAACGCAGTCGATGACCCTGGGCATCATATGTCAGTGGGGCATGAGGCAGACCGTCGAACTGGAGAACCAGATGACCAGCATAGAGCGTGTGCTGGAATACGTGCAGATACCGCCAGAGCCCGCCTACGAGACGGAGGCAGCTATCAATCTGCCTGCGAGATGGCCCAGTGCGGGCCAGCTGCATTTTGACGATCTGCGCTTACGCTACAGCGAACACGGCCATTATGTGCTGAAGGGTCTAAGCTTCACCATACACCCCAAGGAGAAGGTGGGCATTGTGGGTCGCACAGGTGCTGGCAAATCCTCCGTTGTGCAGGCGATCTTTCGCCTGGCGCTCAACGAGGGACTCATCGAGATCGATGGCTATGATATTGCCAAGTTGGGTCTGCAGGATTTGCGTAGTCGCATCTCGATTATACCACAGGATCCGGTTCTCTTTTCGGGCACGCTGCGCTACAATTTGGATCCGTTCGAGCAACAGATGGACGAGGAACTGTGGCAGGCGCTGGACGCCGTCAAGCTGAAGACATTCGTGACGGCCCTTAAAGGCGGCCTCAGCTACAGACTGCACGACGGAGGCGCCAACTTCAGCATGGGTCAGCGCCAACTAATTTGCCTGGCCCGCGCCATACTGAGGCACAATACAATACTCATCATGGACGAGGCAACGGCTAATGTGGACCCCGAGTAAGTGTGATTCAGAACATGATTCATGTCCGAAATGAAAATGACTTTTTTGGGCAAACATATGTAATTGGGCTCATTAGCTCATCAACTACACATTTCTATTATCCATCACGAAGACAGCTAAATCGATTTAATCAGGTCCGTCCGGAAAGCACAAAAGCTAGATACTGGAAGTTTAAATATATAAACTCACTCACCCGCAGCACAAGCTTATCATAATTTGTCGATATCTAATCCCATTTTCTTATTATCACTAAAAAGACTCAGACTGAGCGTAACTGAAAGCCTATATATATATATATATATATATATATATATGTATATATATATTCTGATGTCAAGTTTGGGTTATACTTGATTTTAAACTGTCCGAGATAACTATTCCGCTTCTCAGATATTCCTCACATTAATCTTCAAATGACCAGAAACTGTTACACTGAAGCTAGATTGTTTCTAACTGCAGCTGAAAGCGGGCTGTCGGGTATCTCACAGTCGGATATTGCCGACAAAATCATCTTCAGCTTGCTTATGAGTGTATCCTTATGCCACTTGCAGCACGGACCAGCTCATCCAGGAAGCCATACACACAAAGTTCGCCAACTGCACGGTGCTGACGATTGCGCATCGCCTGCATACGGTTATGGATTCGGATCGGGTACTGGTCATGGATCGAGGTCGAGTCGTGGAGCTGGGTCATCCGCACGAGCTACTGCAGCAGCGCAATGGATATCTCTACCGGTTTGTGGAGAAGACGGGCGCGGGCAGTGCCAAGCATTTGCGCTACGTCGCCGAGCAGAGCTACTACAAGCGGGTGATCAGCAAACGCTTGCCGGGCGAGCAGCCGGAACTGGAGCCGGAGGGCAGGCTGAGCGTATTTCGGGGCACCACACTATAAAAGACTGTAGTTTATGTTTTGTTTTGTAAGTTATGGTAATATAGTTTTTATTATAGTGAACTGATCTTTAAATATAAATCTATATAATTTTGTATATATATAATGTATATATATATGCACTTTATATGTATAATATACGAAGTTGTTGTTGTAGCGTTTCTGCTCCTTAAAGATTTTGAAAAAAGCATTTGTAAGTATTTGGTTTTCATAATTTCTTATCTTGTTCTTTAGAATGCCATGTATTTATTTACTTAACGATTAACTAGCGCGCTATAAACCTGGCTACTGTTTAGTTTTTTTTCTTTTCTTTTTCTTTTTCAATACTATAACTACGCTCAACTTCTAGTTGTTCTTGTTGTTGTGTCTAGTATTACATGAGTCACATGAGAAATCTTGAATGTACTTTTTGCCTGCTTTTATATTTTAGCATTCATTATTTTTATTATTTTTATTATTATTTTCCGTATGTGCATTTATATTTCTATTTTACTATTCTTTTCTATATAGATTTTTATTAGATTTACGAAATTTTGCTTGGTATATGTATAAAATTGTTTGTTTTTTTTGGTAGAGTGTAAATGAATTTATCGCATTAATTTTCTTTTTTCACTAGATTTTTAAAATTATGTTTTTTTTTGGTATTTTTTTCATGTAGTTTTATTGTGTATAAATATTAAAGTAAATATAAGCACATATATAATTTTTTAAAATATTTTTCTTATGATTTTGCTTATTTAAAATTCGCTTACTTAAAGTCTGCCTTCAACATTTTTGTAGTTTGATGTAAATAGAAAAATCAGTGTTTGGAGAATGTTCATAAATCTTTTGTATATTTATGTATATATATATATATATATATATATAGATATATATATCTATATTTGTATATATATATATGTATATATGTATATTAATATTTAAATTTAGCTTTTCCTGTGCTTACAGTTATGTGTTGTCACAAAAACTAAGTTAAACCTTGAAATCCTTCCCCAAATTTCAATGCTTAAGTTGTTTTTTCTTCTTCTTCTTCTGATTTTGAAAGTTTTCTTTTTTCGTCTGTTGCCTAAACTTCCTGCTCTTGTGCTTTGAATGCATGTAAATAGGTATGAATACATATAAATATATATATATATATATATATATATATATATATATATATATATATATATATATATATATATATATATATATATATATATATATATATATATACATACATATATATCTGTATATATATATATATATATATATTTATATATACATATTTGATGCCCTAGAAATAAGATTGTTTGTTTGCTGTTTAAGAAAAATTCGATGCAAGTTGAATAAAATTATTTCTATTATTATTACTTTTATAGTTATCGTAATTAATATTACTCTTCTTTAGCTAATATGTATTTGTTCAAGCATTTTTGTTTATGTTTTCTTCTGTTGTTTGAAAGTTTTAAGTATCCTGTTTAAGATTATGCGATATACTTTCGCTCTACTATATTGTACGTACCATTCTTAGGCTTATTTCTTTAGGTTTTGGTAAAGTTAGTAATTAAGGTATTTATTTAAATTTTCGTTTTTATTATTTCATATTTTTTTTAAAGTATAAACACGTTTTGTATTCACTTTGTTATTCTCACAGTTAAGCTTCTTTGATTGAGCACAAAAGCAAATGAGAGTTTTTGTTGAGGGGGGGCTTAGCGGAAAACCAAAAAACCTTAAAATACTCAACATTCTATGTACTATATATGTATATATATATATAGATATATATATATATTTAAATTTATTTTCGATCAGCTCAATGTGAGCTCAGCACGGGACGCGCTAAGAATCTTCCCCTATTCTTGGCACGCCCAGTGCTGAGTTCTCAATTAACCAATTCAGAGGATTCCAAAAAAGGAAAAGAAAAACTTGGAAATTTGTGAAATTAGGGAGTTTTGCACTTATCTCTCTTGTAAATCAAAATTTAGCACAAAATGTTACAGTGTTGTAAAGAACTGAAATATTGTAAATTTAACTGGAAGTCAATTTAGATTATTACCTTTAGCAGCTACTCGTATATAGATTATACTTAGTTAATGCGCTAACTACTCGAACTACGGCACTTAAGTGTGCATTGGTGCAAGCTTCTCGCTTCTCGCTTATCGCTTCTCTTCTTCCTTTCTTTGTGTGTGTTTGTGTTCCCTAAACTTTAGTTCAGCCAGCGTTTAACAATATCTAGTTTTAAAATTATTTTCGAGTAAAACACTTGACAAAAGGATGTTATTAGTGGGAACTAAATCGTGCGTGCTTCATTAATTGAAACGCATATTTTGATTATAAAATATGGTCCCGAGGTTTTTAATATTTCTTGCCATTTTTTTTTTTAATTTTATTCTTATCAGTGTGAGTTTTTTATAGCATTGGCTTTAAGAATTTAAATATCCATATTTTGGGAGCTATATAGCAGCAATTAGAGGTGTGGTCGGAACTAGCGCTTTCTATATGGCATATAGAAATATATATATTGTATATATTCTAACCGGTACCACATTGCTTCTAGTTAGGTATAGATAAGATAAGGCGTTGTGCTTATGTACATTGTACATAGTCGGCTTTGTATTTGGTTGCTTTTGTTCCAATTGTTGTTTTGGCAATGATTTTCGCTCTTTCTATTACCAAAAACTCAATTTTGCTACAAAAACGTTTTCATTTCTACGAAATTTGTTGTTGCTTGGGTGCCTAGGCGAAGGTTCTATTACAGCTATTGAACCCAAAGCTATAAATCAGCGTACAATATTTATATATAAATTAAGAAAGAATTTCATCTTCATGATCTTATTTTTTTTAATATATTAATATTTTTTATGGTTTTTTTTTTTTTGAAATAAAGAGTAGTATGAATTTGTTATGCAAGGTTTTTTCGAACATTTTTTTCATGGTGTAGTCGCATATATCCAATACAATATATACATTGCTTGCTATATAATAACTATATATATGTATATATATTTGTATATATATTGTTTATGTATATGTAAGTAATTAATTAGCATTCGTTTGTCGTGTGGTTCTGCAAAAATTTGTAATACGCTTTGGAAAAATTGTCCATTAATTGCAAAAAATGTTTTCTTTAAAAAAGGGTTCTAAACATGGCATTATGTTTGGGCCCGCAGGCTCCGTATTATCGCGTGCATATTAAACGACGATGTGGTATTATAATATTTCATAAATATATATGTATATATATATATATCTTTGTCTATATATATATGTATGTGTTTACTGCTTTACTTTTGTCCGGGCTCAATAATTTCAACGGTCACGCTCTCGGCCACTGGATTTGTGGTTATGTTCGTAATCAGCGACTCCTCCTGAGGCGACTGCAGCTGCGAGTGGTGCTGGCGGTGCGAGGAGCCGTGCCTCTCATGATGTCCACCGCCGGACACTTTGCCGGGCGCCACCGAATTGCTGCGGTTGGAACGTACCGAAACGGCTGACGCATTGCTGCCATGAGATTCCGACTGGGAGCCTGTGGAGAGCACGTAGCGCATGTTTATTACATTTTTCAACTTAATTCACGGAGCATGTGCTACGCATAAACGGATAGAGCTCAACAACAACAACATTAACAACAACAAGCTAACGAGGTTGGCATTCAGTTAACTCAAGTGGAGCCTGTTGACAGGATTACGTGAGTCAGCTGAGGAAATATAAATGCATTCGAGCGAGCACAAGACTACGTAGAAGCACGCTAGCATACGTATGCACTGTACATAATACTTTGAGAACTTTTAAATGTAATAAATGATTAGAAAAAAGTTATCTGCGGATTGCCGCAGATGAAATACACTTGCAGAGCTGCAGCAGATGTGAAACTGCTAAGTAGATGAGTTTTATGATGAGAATTTGTACTTAGCTTTTATACTTTAACTTTAGCTTTAACAAGTAATAGTGCTCTTGTCGGAACTGCCCGACTATGGGATACCCTGAATACTGCAAAGAGCTGTTCCAATTATGCTGCGGTACTTTTATATATATTAAGCATTACAAGCATCACATCACGGAGGCATAGCAGGACGGAGAGACGGACATGACTAGATCGACTCAAATCTTCATACTGATCAAGAATATGGAATATGCCGAGCCTTCTTCTGCCTGCTACATAAATACAATTCCCATTTTCAAGGGGTTCACTTATGTTAGCTATATAAATGATATGTATTTATGTAGCCTCGGCTAGAAGACGCACAGCTGCACTTGCTTAGACGCAGAAAACATCAATTATAAATGATTGATCGATAGAAACCACAATTTAACTTAATTCACATCTAGATTTATAGCACTATGGCATTATAGATTGATTAATTGTTATGTCCTCTGCAAGTATAAACTATGTATTTAAGTTTAGACCAAAACTGGCCAATCCATACAACTAGTTGGCCAAGCATACTCCAAACGGAAATGGCATGCGTTAGAGGCGGGCAACTAAAAGCGGAAATGGAAATGGAAATAGAAATGAAAATGAAACTGAAAATGAAAATAAAATACAGACGCTGCTAGGCACTAGACGACACACATACATACATACATATGTATGTATATGGCAGCAGTAGCTGGGTCTCGTTAGTGTTTCGTGGTACAATGACAGTTTCGTAATGATCAGTTAGATGTGTCGTAAGTGTACATAGAATGTAGAGGGCAGCAGACTAAATAACTAAATCTGTAAGTTTTAACATGAACTTTAACTTGAAGTTAAGCTCTAACTAAAGTCTTAACATTAAGTGTGTTGTTCTCTTTTGTTTTGTTATAGTCGCAGAGTGTCTGGTGTGTTATAGAGTGTCTGGTGGTACACATACATTGGGTTAGTATTTGTTATAGTAGGGAGCAGTTACTTGGTTTAGAAGTTAACGGCAACTCTCACTACGGCTTAGCGTTAATGTTAGATTCTTACAACAGTTGGTACGACAACAATAAAGACAGCAACTACAATATACAGGACACAGCTAAACAAGACATTCAACGAA